GTACTTTGTTGGGGCTGGTGCCCACTTTGCCTCATTTGTTGTAGGCTTTGCCTGTACTGTGATTTCTATATATACTCCTGCCTGTTTGTTCTGCTAGGCTGAGATCACCTTTGCTGTTTGTGCTACATATATACTTCTGCATGTGAACTGGCCATATGGCCCTTTGCTTGTGCTCGGAATGTGTGGTGACGTTGTGATCCACCCTGAGCTTGCTTGCCTTTCCTGACTGGTCTTGTGACCCCTTGCTCTCCCCCACTTTGCCTATGGGGGTGTGTCAAACAATATATGTGTTGTATTTGTGTAGGCTACAGTGGGTTAGCCTCTAGGGGGTACATCATTCTAGGGTTAGGTACTTGTACTCCCATTCCTTTCTAGTTCCACCACTTCTCTCATTCTAACAAAAAGTCTCAATTTTCCATCCTCGCCCAGCAGGTTAGCAGGTCCCCTGTCTTGCATCCCTCATCAACAGACCAGCAGCCGCTTTAGAGGATTCCTAAAAAGTCTCTTTATTCCGTCTTATTTCCTTATTCATTGAACCAGCGGTCTAGCCCATTGGGGGGGGTGACAACTCCCCGACCTAGTGACCCCCTGCTGTGTGCGTTATTTCTGCCCCCCCAACCCCCTTTCCTTCACCCCCCCCCCCCCCCCCCCCCCCCCCCCCCCCTCCTCCTTCTGCTTCTCTCCAGCTTCCAGTTTCGGGGTTCCCCCTTCATCATCGCATATGCGCCCACCGAGCCCATAAGTGCCTTGCCCCATCTCATCCCTCTCTCCCTCTCTCCCCACTCCCCTCATTTCCCCCTGTAGCTCCTAGTGTCGAAGTCCCCCCTTCATCATCGCATCGCCTACGTGATCACCGAGCCCAATCTCCACATCACCAGAGCCAACAATATCCAGCCCCTTGAGGGGTCGACCTATAACCAACCCACCTGCTGTGTGTGCAATCAACCTCTCCACACTCTCCACCCTTCTCCCTTTCCTTTACTCCGTGTACTCTCCTCCCTCCCCCCCCCCAGCTCCCAGTGCCCTACTTCCTATTCATCATCACCTGTGCACCCACAGAGTTAATGAGTCCCTTGCCCATCTCAATCGCTGTATCCGTGTTCCCCCTCTCTTCTCTCCCCCCCTCGTCCCTCCTACTCATCCCCCACCTTCTCTCTCTCCCATCCAGCTCCCAATGTCCGAGTTCCTTCGGAATTCACGTGTTTGAAGAATTGTTTTGATCACGTCTCAAAACACTTCTTCAATCATGTGTCTTCTCTCTCTCCCATCAAGCCCATAGTGTCTGAGTTCCTTGAGAATTGACGTGATTGAAGAAGTGTGGTGATCACGTCTCAAAACTCTTCTTCAATCACGTGTCTTCTCTCTCTCCCATCCAGCTCCCAATGTCCGAGCTCCTTCGGAATTCACGTGATTGAAGAAGTGTGGTGATCACGTCTCAAAACATTTCTTCAATCACGTGTCTTCTCTCTCTCCCATCCAGCTCCCTGTGTCTGAGTTCCTTAAGAATTCACGTGATTGAAGAAGTGTTTTGATCACGTCTCAAAACACTTCTTCAAACACGTGTCTTCTCTCTCTCCCATCCAGCTCCCAGTGTCCTAGTTCCTAGAGAATTCACGTGATTGAAGAAGTGTTTTGATCACGTCTCAAAACACTTCTTCAATCACGTGTCTTCTCTCTCTCTCCCATCCAGCTCCCAGTGTCCAAGTTCCTTGAGAATTCACGTGATTGAAGAAGTGTTTTGATCATGTCTCAAAACACTTCTTCAATCACGTTTCTTCTCTCTCTCTCTCTCCCATCCAGCTCCCAGTGTCCGAGTTCCTTGAGACTTCACGTGATTGAAGAAGTGTTGTGATCACGTCTCAAAACACTTCTTCAATCACTCTTCTCTCTCTCCCATCCAGCTCCCAGTGTCCGAGTTCCTTGAGAATTCACGTGATTGAAGAAGTCTGGTGATCACGTCTCAAAACACTTCTTCAATCACGTGTCTTCTCTCTCTCTCTCCCATCCAGCTCCCAGTGTCCGAGTTCCTTCATAATTCACGTGTTTGAAGAATTGTTTTGATCATGTCTCAAAACACTTCTTCAATCACGTGTCTTCTATCTCTCCCATCCAGCTCCCAGTGTCCGAGTTCGTTGAGAATTCACGTGATTGAAGAAGTGTGGTGATCACGCCTCAAAGCACTTCTTCAATCACGTGTCTTTTCTCTCTCTCCCATCCAGCTCCCAGTGTCCGAGTTCCTTGAGAATTCACGTGATTGAAGAAGTGTGGTGATCACGTCTCAAAACACTTCTTCAATCACGTGTCTTCTCTCTCTCTCCCATCCAGCTCCCAGTGTCCAGGTTCCTTGAGAATTCACGTGATTGAAGAAGTGTGGTGATCACGTCTCAAAACACTTCTTCAATCACGTGTCTTCTCTCTCTCCCATCCTGCTCCCAGTGTCCGAGTTCCTTCGGAATTCACGTGATTGAAGAAGTGTGGTGATCACGTCTCAAAACACTTCTTCAATCACGTGTCTTCTCTCTCTCCCATTCAGCTCCAAGTGTCCGAGTTCCTTGAGAATTCACGTGATTGAAGAAGTGTTTTGATCGCGTCTCAAAACACTTCTTCAAACACGTGTCTTCTCTCTCTCCCATCCAGCTCCCAGTGTCCTAGTTCCTTGAGAATTCACGTGATTGAAGAAGTGTTTTGATCACGTCTCAAAACACTTCTTCAATCACGTGTCTTCTCTCTCTCTCCCATCTAGCTCCCAGTGTCCGAGTTCCTTGAGAATTCACGTGATTGAAGAAGTGTTTTGATCATGTCTCAAAACACTTCTTCAATCACGTGTCTTCTCTCTCTCCCATCCAGCTCCCAGTGTCCGAGTTCCTTGAGACTTCACGTGATTGAAGAAGTGTTGTGATCACGTCTCAAAACACTTCTTCAATCACTCTTCTCTCTCTCCCATCCAGCTCCTAGTGTCCAAGTTCCTTGAGAATTCACGTGATTGAAGAAGTCTGGTGATCACGTCTCAAAACACTTCTTCAATCACGTGTCTTCTCTCTCTCTCCCATCCAGCTCCCAGTGTCCGAGTTCCTTCAGAATTCACGTGTTTGAAGAATTGTTTTGATCACGTCTCAAAACACTTCTCCAATCACGTGTCTTCTATCTCTCCCATCCAGCTTCCAGTGTCCGAGTTCGTTGAGAATTCACGTGATTGAAGAAGTGTGGTGATCACGCCTCAAAACTCTTCTTCAATCACGTGTCTTCTCTCTCTCTCTCCCATCCAGCTCCCAGTGTCCGAGTTCCTTGAGAATTCACGTGATTGAAGAAGTGTGGTGATCACGTCTCAAAACACTTCTTCAATCACGTGCCTTCTCTCTCTCTCCCATCTAGCTCCCAGTGTCCGAGTTCCTTGAGAATTCACGTGATTGAAGAAGTGTGGTGATCACGTCTCAAAACACTTCTTCAATCACGTGTCTTCTCTCTCTCCCATCCAGCTCCCAGTGTCTGAGTTCCTTGAGAATTCATATGATTGAAGAAGTGTGGTGATCACGTCTCAAAACACTTCTCCAATCATTGTCTTCTCTCTCTCCCATCCCGCTCCCAGTGTCCGAGTTCCTTGAGAATTCACGTGATTGAAGAAGTGTGGTGATCACATCTCAAAACACTTCTTCAATCACGTGTCCTCTCTCTCCCATCCAGCTCCCAGTGTCCGAGTTCCTTGAGAATTCTAAAGAAACGTCGTCATCGCGTGTGCACCCACCGAGCCCATCCTCCGCCTCACCAGAGCCCTTATTTAAGCCGTTTGGGAGGGGGGGTCCGACATCTTATTTGCTGTGTGCGTGATTCTCGTCCTTTCAACCCCCTCATCTCCTCTCCCTCTCTCAATCCTACACCCTCCCTCTCCCCGTTCCACTCCTCCCACCCCACCATCCATTCCCCTCTTTTCCCCACCCCTTCCCCTCTTCCTCCAGCTACCAGTGTCCCAGCTCCCATTCCCCCTTCAAGCTCCCAGTGGCCGAGCTCCCTTTCATCATCGCCTATGCACAGACGGGGCCCATCAGTGGCTTGCCCATCTCACCTCCCTTCTCCCTCTCCCCCCATCCCCCCTCCAGCTCCCAGTGTCCGAGTTCCATTTCATCATCGCCTGTGCACCCACCGAGCCCATCCTCCGCCTCGACAGAGCCATCATCCAGCGCATCGAGTGGGTGGAAAAAGGCAGTCGACATCTCACTTCCTGTGTCCGTGTGATCCATAACTCTTGTCTCCCTTCCAACCCTTCCCATTCTCCTCCCTGTAGCTCCTAGTGTCCGAGTACCTTTTCATCATCACAATGCACCCAAGAAGCCCATCCCCCGCATCACCAGAGCCGTCATCCAGCCCACCGGGGGGGTCGACGTCGCCCCCATTGTGTTCCTGGCACTCATAAGCGTTCGAAACGAAATCCTGCTGAGCCAGCAGGGGCTGCTCGTGTTTATAGCGAATCACGAGTCGCTCTTGTGATAGCCATCTCTCTCGTGGTATGGGATTTCAAATGGGATTTTTTTTTTGTAGAGAACGGGGTTTGAGAGTGCCGGTACCGTAAGTCAAGACATCTTTCCGTTGTGTGGCTGGCACTCGTCGGCTTTCTTAACGAGATCCTGCTGGGGCAGCAGAGGCTGCTCGTGCTTATAGCGAACCACGAATCACCCTCCCCTTCTCATGTAGTTTCGCTGGGCCCTCTTACATCTTATATTTAGAGCATTTTAGGAGAAACCGAATACCTACGCTCCGCCCCAGAAATATCAGCATCTTGTATGCAAGATTATTCTGGCATGCTCTATGCAGCAAGCACATGGTCCTAGTTTATTGTTCATAGCATGTACTGTATCGCGAATTACGCATGTGTGGCTTCCTTGGCCAATGACCTGCTGCCAGCTATCTTGCAAACGGAGTGAGATGAGACACGAGCTCAAAGCTATATATGCAACAAGTGCTGGGTTCCTACCTAGTTACATGTTCAGTATAAAATGTATGGTGGACTAAGCAGGCGCTGCTTCCTTGGCCAATGACCTGCTGCCAGCTATCTTGCAGACGGGGTGAGACACATCTGCCAGGAGCAATCTGAGCCGCGGATCCACCTGCCTTGCCACGTCAGCAAGGGTGATCTTGTGGCCCACATCCAATGCAGACAGATCCACCTCCACGAAAGGAGGAATGGCGGAGGGGGGGCAGGAGAAGGGGAGGGTGCGACGCATGGTGTAGAGCCAACCACCTGGGGGGGGCAGATGGGGGAAGGGAGTGGGAGAAGAGGGGGATGAGGGAGAGTGAGGAGAGATAGAGCAGCCACCAGGCCCAGCCAACAGTGACAGCCCTTCACGAATAGGGGGATGGCGGAGGGCGGGCAGGAGAAGGGGAGGGTGCGAAGCATGGCGTAGCGCCAACCACCTGGTTGGGGGGGGGAAATGTAGTTAATAAGGAAGAAGAAAACTGAAAGAACGGGAAGCGGGGAAGCACAGGAGAAGGAGAGGGTGCGGCGCATGGCGTAGAGCCAACCACCTGGGAGGGGAGATGGGGAAGGGGGTGGGAGAAGGGGGAAGGGGATCAAGGACAACGAGGACAGAAGAAAGAAAACAGGAAAAGACAGGAGAAAGGGAGGGTGCGACGCATGGTGTAGAGCCAACGGCATGGCAGGAGCAGGGTGGAGGGAGGGAGACGGTGAAAGAAAGGGTAGGGCGTAGGAGAAGGGGACTGTGTGACGCATGGTGTAGAGCTAGAGGCAACCGCGTGGGAGGGGAGATGAGGAGGGGTGTGGGAGAAAGAGAGGGATGAGGGAGAAACTCATTTGAAGCACGAAGAAGAGAGTGGATAATAAAAAAAAAGGGGAGGGCAGGAGAATGGGAGAGTGCGTTGCATGGTGTAGAGCCAATCGCTTGGCACGGGCAGAATGGAGGGATGAGGGAGAGCAGATATGAAAGAAGAGGATTGTAGGGGGCAGGGAAAGAGGCAAAGCACTAGAGACGGGGAGGGTGCGACGCTTGGTGTCTTTGAGGCGCCTCAAAAGGGTGCGACGAATGGTGTCTTTGAGGCGCCTCAAAAGGGTGCGACGCATGGTGTCTTTGAGGCGCCTCAAAAGGGTGCGACGCATGGTGTCTTTGAGGCGCCTCAAAAGGGTGCGACACATGGTGTCTTTGAGGCGCCTCAAAAGGGTGCGACGCATGGTGTCTTTGAGGCGCCTCAAAAGGGTGCGACGCATGGTGTCTTTGAGGCGCCTCAAAAGGGTGCGACGCATGGTGTCTTTGAGGCGCCTCAAAAGGGTGCGACGCATGGTGTCTTTGAGGCGCCTCAAAAGGGTGCGATGCATGGTGTCTTTGAGGCGCCTCAAAAGGGTGCGACGCATGGTGTCTTTGAGGCGCCTCAAAAGGGTGCGACGCATGGTGTCTTTGAGGCGCCTCAAAAGGGTGCGACGCATGGTGTCCATGAGGCGCCTCAAAAGGGTGCAACGCATGGTGTCTTTGAGGCGCCTCAAAAGGGTGCGACGCATGGTGTCTTTGAGGCGCCTCAAAAGGGTGCGACGCATGGTGTCTTTGAGGCGCCTCAAAAGGGTGCGACGCATGGTGTCTTTGAGGCGCCTCAAAAGGGTGCGACGCATGGTGTCTTTGAGGCGCCTCAAAAGGGTGCGACGCATGGTGTCTTTGAGGCGCCTCAAAAGGGTGCGACGCATGGTGTAGAGCCAACCATTTATTGAAGGGTAGAAGGGAGGAGCCATTCCTTCCAGATGCAAACAGGGAGTGGTGGAGAGGGCGTGGTGGAGAGGGCGTGGTGGAGAGGGCGTGGTGGAGAGGGCGTGGTGGAGAGGGCGTGGTGGAGAGGGCGTGGTTCAGAGGGCGTGGTGCAGAGGGCATGCCATGCCCTGCCATGCCCTGCCCTGCCATGCCCTGCCCTGCCCTGCCCTGCCCTGCCCTGCCCTGCCCTGCCATGCCCTGCCCTGCCATGCCCTGCCCTGCCATGCCCTGCCATGCCCTGCCCTGCCATGCCCTGCCCTGCCATGCCCTGCCCTGCCCTGCCCTGCCCTGCCATGCCCTGCCCTGCCATGCCCTGCCATGCCCTGCCTTGCCATGCCATGCCCTGCCATGCCATGCCCTGCCATGCCCTGCCCTGCCCTGCCCTGCCATGCCATGCCCTGCCATGCCCTGCCCTGCCATGCCCTGCCCTGCCATGCCCTGCCCTGCCATGCCCTGCCCTGCCATGCCCTGCCATGCCCTGCCCTGCCATGCCATACCCTGCCATGCCATGCCCTGCCATGCCATGCCATGCCCTGCCATGCCCTGCCATGCCCTACCCTGCCATGCCATGCCCTGCCCTGCCATGCCATGCCATGCCATGCCCTGCCATGCCCTGCCCTGCCCTGCCATGCCCTGCCCTGCCATGCCCTGCCCTGCCATGCCATGCCCTGCCCTGCCCTGCCCTGCCCTGCCATGCCCTGCCATGCCATGCCATGCCATGCCCTGCCCTGCCATGCCCTGCCCTGCCATGCCATGCCCTGCCCTGCCATGCCATGCCATGCCCTGCCATGCCCTTCCCTGCCCTGCCATGCCCTGCCCTGCCATGCCCTGCCCTGCCATGCCCTGCCCTGCCCTGCCCTGCCCTGCCCTGCCCTGCCCTGCCATGCCCTGCCATGCCCTGCCCTGCCATGCCATGCCCTGCCATGCCATGCCATGCCATGCCCTGCCATGCCATGCCCTGCCATGCCCTGCCCTGCCCTGCCCTGCCCTGCCATGCCATGCCCTGCCCTTCCCTGCCCTGCCCTGCCATGCCCTGCCCTGCCATGCCCTGCCCTGCCATGCCCTGCCCTGCCATGCCCTGCCATGCCCTGCCCTGCCATGCCATGCCCTGCCATGCCATGCCCTGCCATGCCATGCCATGCCCTGCCATGCCCTGCCATGCCCTGCCCTGCCATGCCATGCCCTACCATGCCATGCCCTGCCATGCCATGCCCTGCCATGCCCTGCCATGCCCTGCCCTGCCATGCCATGCCCTACCATGCCATGCCCTGCCATGCCCTGCCCTGCCATGCCCTGCCCTGCCATGCCCTGCCCTGCCATGCCATGCCCTGCCCTGCCATGCCATGCCCTGCCATGCCCTGCCCTGCCATGCCCTCCCCTGCCATGCCCTGCCATGCCCTGGCCTGCCATGCCATGCCCTGCCATGCCATGCCCTGCCATGCCCTGCCCTGCCATGCCCTACCATGCCCTGCCATGCCATGCCCTGCCCTGCCATGCCATGCCCTGCCATGCCATGCCCTGCCATGCCATGCCATGCCCTGCCATGCCCTGCCATGCCCTGCCCTGCCATGCCCTGCCATGCCCTACCATGCCATGCCCTGCCATGCCATGCCCTGCCATGCCCTGCCATGCCCTGCCCTGCCATGCCATGCCCTACCATGCCATGCCATGCCCTGCCCTGCCATGCCCTGCCCTGCCCTGCCCTGCCATGCCCTGCCCTGCCATGCCCTGCCATGCCCTGCCCTGCCATGCCATGCCCTCCCATGCCATACCATGCCATGCCATGCCCTGCCATGCCCTGCCATGCCCTGCCCTGCCATGCCCTGCCCTGCCATGCCCTGCCCTGCCATGCCCTGCCCTGCCATGCCCTGCCATGGCATGCCCTGCCCTGCCATGCCCTGCCCTGCCATGCCATGCCCTACCATGCCATGCCCTGCCATGCCCTGCCCTGCCATGCCCTGCCCTGCCATGCCCTGCCCTGCCATGCCATGCCCTGCCATGCCCTGCCATGCCATGCCATGCCATGCCATGCCCTCCCCTGCCATGCCCTGCCATGCCCTGCCATGCCATGCCATGCCCTGCCATGCCCTGCCCTGGCATGCCCTGCCCTGCCATGCCCTGCCCTGCCATGCCCTCCCCTGCCCTGCCATGCCATGCCCTGCCCTGCCATGCCATGCCCTGCCATGCCCTGCCCTGCCATGCCCTGCCCTGCCATGCCCTGCCCTGCCATGCCCTCCCCTGCCCTGCCATGCCATGCCCTGCCCTGCCATGCCATGCCCTGCCATGCCCTGCCCTGCCATGCCCTGCCCTGCCATGCCCTGCCCTGCCATGCCCTGCCCTGCCCTGCCATGCCATGCCCTGCCCTGCCATGCCATGCCCTGCCATGCCCTGCCCTGCCATGCCCTGCCCTGCCATGCCATGCCCTGCCATGCCCTGCCCTGCCATGCCCTCCCCTGCCCTGCCATGCCATGCCCTGCCCTGCCATGCCATGCCCTGCCATGCCCTGCCCTGCCATGCCCTGCCCTGCCATACCCTGCCCTGCCATGCCCTGCCATGCCCTGCCCTGCCATGCCATGCCCTGCCATGTCCTGCCCTGCCATGCCCTGCCCTGCCATGCCCTGCCCTGCCATGCCATGCCCTGCCATACCCTGCCCTGCCATGCCCTCCCCTGCCCTGCCATGCCATGCCCTGCCCTGCCATGCCCTGCCCTGCCATGCCCTGCCCTGCCATGCCCTGCCCTGCCATGCCCTGCCCTGCCATGCCCTGCCCTGCCATGCCATGCCCTGCCATGTCCTGCCCTGCCATGCCCTGCCCTGCCATGCCCTGCCCTGCCATGCCATGCCCTGCCATGCCCTGCCCTGCCATGCCCTCCCCTGCCCTGCCATGCCATGCCCTGCCCTGCCATGCCCTGCCCTGCCATGCCCTGCCCTGCCATGCCCTGCCCTGCCATGCCCTGCCCTGCCATGCCCTGCCCTGCCATGCCCTGCCCTGCCATGTCCTGCCCTGCCATGCCCTGCCCTGCTATAGCGATGTCATGCCCCACTGACCTTTTTTAATGCCTGGGCAGGCATCCTCGCCCACGAACACCAAAGGCACGGGCACTTTAACTCGTGCGCTTTCGCGTTCGGGCAGCTTGAGAAAAGTCACATTAAGAATCTCGTCCGTAGCTCCATGCCAGTGCACCTGCGACGGGAGGTTGGGGGGAGGATGGAGGGGGGGGGGATATGGGGGGAGGATGGGGGAAGCAGGGGAGGAGGTTGTGGGGCTGAAGGGAGTCACGTTGAGAACCTCGTCCGTTGCTCCATGCCAGTGCACCTGGTCAGAAGGCGGAACAGGATAGGGGGGAAACGGAACGGGGGGAAGATGGCATAGGGGGAAACGGAACGGGGGGAAGATGGCATTGGGGGAAACGCGTGGTAGGATAAGGGGAAGAAGGGGAGTCACGTTGAGTCACGCGTGGTAGGATAAGGGGAAGAAGGGGAGTCACGTTGAGTCACGCGTGGTAGGATAAGGGGAAGAAGGGGAGTCACGTTGAGTCACGCGTGGTAGGATAAGGGGAAGAAGGGGAGTCACGTTGAGTTTCTCGTCCGTAGCTCCATGCGAGTGCACCTGCGACGGGAGGTTGGGGGGAGGATGGGGGGAGGATTGGGGGAGGATGGGGGGAGGATGGGGGAAGGATGGGGGGAGGATGGGGGGAGGATGGGGGAAGGATGGGGGGAGGATGGGGGGAGGATGGGGGGAGCATGGGGGGACGATGGGGGCAGGATGGGGTCAGGATGCAGGGAGGATAGGAGGAGGATGGGGCAGGGATGGGACATCTTGTATGTGGCAGCTACGCTTGGATTGGATACCCGAGTGGGAAAATGGGAACAGGAGAAGAGGCAGCAGGGGGACAGGGGGTGTAGTAAAGGGAGTGGGGAGGGAGATGGGAATAAAAGCTACGAAGACGGAAGCTGCAAAACGGGGAAAGGAGGTGTTTGAAGAGGCAGCGGGGGACAAGGGGTGTAGGATAGGGAGGGAGGGAGCGGGGAGGGGGGTTGGAGTAAGCCACGAAGAGGAAAACTGCAAAATGGGGAAAGGAGGCATGAAAAAAGATAACAGAGTCAAAAAAAATAATAAAAAATCCAGTAGTTAAGAGGCATGCGACTAAGAGATGCACAGAAAGGGGAGAGGGGAGAGGGGAGAGGGGGCGGGGGGGGGGGTGGGGGCGCAGGGTTGTGGGTGGGAGTGGGGGAAAGGGAAGTATTTCTCACGGCAAGGAAGGGACGCGGGCGACGCGGGATGTGAGTTGCAAGTGCAGATAGGAGAAGCGGATAAGACTTAATGGAAGGAACAATGCAGGCACTTATGATAATTTTAAAAACCAGGGGAATCCGAAATGGTACAGGCACTTACCAGCTTCGGAATCACCCTCATCCGGACACTCTCAACCGTTGATTCTTCCGGCACCCCCTCCGCTCCCGCCGCCTCCCCTTCCGCCGCTTCCGCGCCCTCCGCGGCAATCTCGAGGTTGAACACCTGCGACACGAAGAACGGCCGCCCGAACTTCTTCACCAGCCGTCCGATCTGCTTGCGATCGACGGACACCAGCCGTTTTCGGCCGCCCAGATGCCCGTCCTCCTGCTCGAAGACTATGCTCGGTATTCTCCCTAATCGCCGCTCCTTCTTAGCTTGGATCTTGCCCGACCCGGGCCTAAGGACGGCTTTAATTACCTCCTTTTTCCGCGCCTCCTCTTCGCCGTGGTCTGGCGGAGGAGGGACGAGACCCAGCTCGACTAATATCCCGGCAAATCCGCGTGATAGGGGAGGGTGTGATAGTAACGGTGGTTGGACGCGAGCTGCTGGATTGTGTGACAGTAACGAGGCGGAGGTTGTGGGCTTTGGAGACACGATAGGGAGAGCCGGCGAAGAGTGAGTGTGCAGCCTAGCGTGCGAGTCGTTGGCGAAATGGAGCTGAGGAGTTACCAATGTCGCAGATCCAGCGTGAGACACTAACTGTGGGAGCGAAGGCGGTGCGGAGAACCTCTGGGAATTTGTGAAGCCAAGCGCGAGCCGCCTCGCGACATTGCTGAACGCCCGGCTCCTGGCCATGGCGGAAGAAAGGAATTGCGCAAATGGCGGGAGAAAGGAGGTGCGCAAATGGCGGCATACACGGAGGGAAGGGTGGTGGCGCAACAAGGTTGAGTAACCTCGATACAGGCAAGCACGCTATGGATGAATGCAACCTCCAGGTCTGTACTGGAAGAACTAAATAAATAAAAAAACCGAAACAGAAATACACAAGTAGGCAACTTCAGAAGAGAGGCAATCATATCTATTGAAAATTGGAAAGTATTCTATGGGGTGTTACCATAACGACTGTCAGCCTTTTTCTAGGCTCTCCTTCTGAGAACCAATCATATCGCTCCCTTGTCGTGTTTGTTCACGACAGGTCGGATTCCCATCTGCGCGGAGAAGTTACATCTTGAACGGTCCAGATCCTGTTTCCAGAATATGAGGGAAGCCAAAAGCGCAACCTGCTGGTGTTTCAGCGAGAGTCGTCATGGAAAATCCCGGTTACGGCAACCCCGGTAACCATTTCGGATTTCAATCGTTGTCGCCGAAACCGCAACTCTTGTTCCTCCTCCTAGCCCTCTTTCTTGATTGGACCGTTGAATTTGTGTTCTGCTATTTCATTTGATGTTGATGAATTCTCGATAGTCGTTTTCGTGAAGGAGGCCTGTTTCTTGCACACCTCGTCGACCGCGTTAGCTTCAGTTAGCGACCCAACTAGCTTCCGGATTACTCGTCAGCTTGGGCCGATTCAGCTTCATTATCGTCGTCTTGTTTCTGTAAACATCCTCTCACACGTATTCACCGTCTTGGCGTTACGGGCTACTAGTAGGGGGCGCGGCCCGACCCCGCGTGTCCAAGATACGGGAGCTATCGTCCTCTCTTCAGGCGTTTAGTGAATATAAATTACATCCTAGTTCGTTCTTTAGAAATAACCGCTGCGCTTACTAGCGCAGTAGGCTCTGAATGGGGAGTGTAGCTCACACGCGTCGCGACTAGATCACCTTATTTCCACCGGCTCGGTTCATTTTCCAACTTGCGATTTCCACCGTCGATGTTGTTCCTGGCCGCTCTAAGCACCGATCCCACCGTTGATCTCGGCGCCAATGGTGTGCTCGGCCTTCCCCTCCTCGACTCCACTCGTCAGATGAAAGAGTTCCCCCTGTTCGCATCCGCGCACCCCGCCGCCGCCCCTTCTGCTTCCGCCGACGGCTCCGCCAGCCTATCTTCCGCCATGGCGGGCGCGCCAGCTCCGCCAGTGTCGTCGACGAAAGCGGAGGCGTTCGCGAGCCTGTCGATTCTGCTGCAGATCGCCATGCTCATGGTCGCATTCGTCGTCGGACATATCCTGCGACGTCGCAAGGTGTACTACATCCACGAGGGCAGCGCCGCCCTGCTCATTGGTGCGTGTGTGAGTCGGTGTGCCTCTGCATCTCTGAGTCTCTGCGTTTCTGTCTGTCTGTCCGTCTGGTCGCAAGGTGTACTACATCCACGAGGCCAGCGCCGCCCTGCTCATTGGCGCGTTAACTGGGAGCTCATTCTACTAGTACTTGCTTGTTTGTTTGCACGCACTGCGTCTGTGCGGCTGTGCGTCTGTGCGTCTGAGCGTCCCTGCGTCTCTGTCGGTCTGATCGTTGGTTGTAACGTGTACTGCTGCCTCCACTCCGTTCAACCCCTTGTGCCGATGCCAGGCCTCGTGGTGGGCTCCGTGGGCAACTGGCGAGGCACTCAGGAGAGCTTCAGGTGAGAGGGCTGGCGGGCTGGCAAGGGAGAGGTCAGGTAAGGGGCAGGTTGGTGGGGGGAAGGCTTCAGGTGAGAGGGCAAGGTGAGCGGGCAAGGTGGGAAGGGAGGGGAAGTTATAGAGAGCAGGTTGATGGGGGGAAGCTTCAGGAGAGAGGGCAGGTTGGTGGAGGAAGAGCTTCAGGTGAAATGTCAGGTCTGTCAAATCAAAGGGTCAGGTGAAAAGTTGAACTGGATATGTGTGATGGCTGTACATGCAGTTTCATGGAATGACCAGGTGCAGTCTCCTAAAAAACATTGTAGAATTCGAATTCTCCTCGTCTGGCGAAATGCATGTAACGTCATGTAATAGATTGACCATGTGTGCTCCCCCTGTCTGATGCGACTAGTTGCATTCCCTTTATAGTATTTCATGAGCTTTTGAGACGTCTCAAAAGGCGACTAGTTGCAGTCCCCGTATTTCATGAGCTCACTCTGCCCTTCCCCTTCACATTCCACCATCTTTGCTGTCTACTTGTGTTCTCTGCTTCTTTGCACTGGACTGCAGGGAATGGCTTGGATTCAAGGAAGAGATTTTCATGCTCTTTCTCCTTCCGCCGATCATATTATATCCGCCCACTTATCATTCCCACCTAACCTCTTATTTTCTTTCCTTCTTCTTTTACCCTCAATAGGAATCCGTTTCCTTTTAATCCTCACTCCATATCCTCAGCTTTTCTCATGTGGACTTGCCAATGTGCGCAGAGAATCGTTTGTTTGTTTGTTTTTTTTTTTTTAATGCACTTATTTCCTTCCATTAGAAGTTATCAAGCAAAGTTTCTTGAAGAATCTCCTGGCGATCTGTTTGTCCTTAACTTATCTTTACTGCTCGCTGCTGATGCCTGGGTGTGCGCGGTTCTTGGTCATGACTCATGCCCGTGCGTGCGATGCTTGTTGATGCTTCTGGGGCGATCCTTCACCTCCGCACTGAGTCTGGCTTCAGCCTTCAAGTGGTGAGCGAGTGCTGCCATGCTGCCATGCTGCCATGCTGCCATGCTGTTATGCTTGCTGTGCTGCCATCCTGTCATGCTGCATGTGTGTGTGACTGCACACGTGTCTCGTCTTCACTGCTCCCTCGAATGGTCCGTGTATTAGTTGAAGGTTGGTACAGAGGTTGAAGCAGACACATGCAAACTGGACAAACAAGCAAACCTATCCTCCATCACCTACCCTACTCCCGCCCCCCCCCTTGTCCGACCCTAGTGGTCGTACGGGGGCTCAATCAGCTGGTGCAGCTGCCCCTCATTCAGAGGGGCCCACGGCCCTTGCAGGCTTAGCTCGTCCGCTTCCAAGGCCTCATTGGTCTTGGTGCGGAGGGCGTTTGCCTGCGCCCTCTGGAGGCAACGCTCCAGCAGCGCTGGCTGCTCCCTCCCTCTCCCGCACACTCAAGTCATTCTTCAACGACTTAGGAGCCACAGTTCTGCCTCAGTCAATCTTCTTTTTGTGTGTGCGCGCGCGTGCCTTACTCACCACCCCTCTTCCCAACGCAGAAACCATTCCTTCAACAACTTTGGCGCCATAGTCACATTTGCATGTCAGTCTCATTCTGTGTGTGCGCGCGTGTCTCACTCACCCTGCCTCTTCCTGCCGCAGAAGCCGTTTTTCAACAACTTTGGAGCCATAGTCACCTTTTCATGTCTCGGCACTTTCCTCTCAGCCATTGTCACTGGCATCCTCGTGTGAGTGTTGAGTCGCATAAGAGAGCGTTTGGGAAAACGTGTAAAAGAAGGGCCTTGTAACCTTTGCCCGTCCTGGCACCTTCCTTTCCTCTCTGCCATTGTCACAGGCGTCCTTGTGCGAGTGCTGAAGTGGGTTTTGTTGTCAGTCGTCTTAAAGTGCCAGGATCAAGGCCAAAGAACGAGCCCACCTGTTTACTAATAAAAGCGCCAGGATTAAGGCCAAAGAACGAGCCCGAAATAGCGGCACAGAACATCGTCAACATTGCCTGTCTCGGCGCCTTGTGCTCAGCCATTGTCACGGGCGCCCTCAGGTGAATGTGGTGGGAGTGTGAGCCAAGCTGGTTTTTGAGAATTCTCATTTTGTTTGAGATTAGTTTTGAGAATTCTCATTTTGTTTGAGTTTAGTTTTGAGAATTCTCATTTTGTTTGAGATTAGTTTTGAGAATTCTCATTTTGTTTGAGATTAGTTTTGAGAATTCTCATTTTGTTTGAGTTTAGTTTTGAGAATTCTCATTTTGTTTGAGTTTTGAGAATTCTCATTTTGTTTGAGATTAGTTTTGAGAACTCTCATTTTGTTTGAGATTAGTTTTGAGAATTCTCATTTTGTTTGAGATTAGTTTTGAGAATTCTCATTTTGTTTGAGATTAGTTTTGAGAATTCTCATTTTGTTTGAGATTAGTTTTGAGAATTCTCATTTTGTTTTAGAATTCTCATTTTGTTTGAGATTAGTTTTGAGAATTCTCATTTTGTTTGAGATTAGTTTTGAGAATTCTCATTTTGTTTGAGATTAGTTTTGAGAATTCTCAAGACTAGTCTCAACCAGCTGGGAGTGTGAGCCGCATCTGTTAGCTTCTGGGGAAACGCATCAGGAAGGAAGGACATTTTTCTCTCAGTCATTGTCACCCGGATCCTAGTCTGAGTGCTGGGGTGGGTTAGTGTTGTTACGACCTGCCTTAGAGAGCGTGGAAAAGCGACACATCGTATCCTCATGACACCTTTATATGTCTCAGCAGCAACTTTCCTTTCAGCCGTTGTCACCGTCGGGATCCTCATGCAGTGCTTTTGGGGCTGCCTGGTTGGCTGGCTGGCTGGCTGGCTGGCTGGCTGGCTGGCTGGCTTGCTTGCTTGCTTGCTTCTTTACTCTTCCTCGTGTACAAGCTCTCCTTCCATTATGTGAACTTACCACAACCTTCCATCCACCCTCCAATGTGTACCATGTGCCCCCACCATTCCCCAATGCAGCTACGTGGGCGGATTCCTCTTCCTCATGTACAAGCTCTCCTTCCTCGAAGCTCTCATCTTCGGATCCCTTATCTCCTCCACCGACCCGGTTGCTGTGCTCGCCATCTTCCAGGTGGGTGCTGGGGAAGGTTGTGAGCGGTGAAGGTTATGGTTAGTGTAGTGCACCAGGGACAAGCCGCTCACCTCATCTCCTCCACCGACCCTGTCGCTGTCCTCGCCATCTTCCAGGTGGGTATTGGGGAAGGAATTTAGAGCATGTTGCTAGTCGAATGCCCCACACCACACTCAAGCCCTTGTCTCATCTCCTCCACCAAACTATTGACCCCACACACAAGCCCTCCCTCGCGATCTTCCTTCCAGTTGCATCCTCTGGTTGTGAATGACAAGAAGTCTGCCAGCTCCTCACCTTATCACAGCTCCGTGGCTCCTCAGATTGCCGGCTCTTCACCTTGTCATTGCGTTTGTCGCCCCATTTGTCTGCACCTTCTCCCCTCACTTCCACCCCTCCCTCTCTCAAGTTACCCTTCTCTCTGCAACATTATCGCGCGCGTCACGACGTGGGAGCAGGCACTATTTCTGAGGCGCCTCACTATTCCTCCCTCTCTTGAATGGCCCTTTCGTCTTCCATCCCCCCACCAAACATCGCAATCAGGACGTGGGAGCAGACACGAATCTCTATGCGCTTGTGTTCGGCGAGTCTGTGCTCAACGACGCGGTACGTACGTGGGTGGGTGGGCGGGCGAGTGGGCGGGCGAGTGGGCGGGTGGGCGGGTGGGTAGGTGGGTGTATGGGTGGGTGGTTCACACACGTCGTGACTTTTTACTCAAATTTTGAGTCAAGTAAAAAAAATCACCGCGCTTGTGTTTGGCAAGTCAGAGGGAAAAGTTGAGTCAACGACGCAGAACGTACGTTCACAAGATTGAATGACGCGGTTCACCGTTCACACATGACCAAGGTTGGTTTTTGATTTGACCCAAAAATCGACGTATTGTTTGTATTGTATGTGTACACAATTGGTTCACATGAGCAAAGCGCGTGGAAATGATAGTGGTTTTTCTTCTTCTCCTTTTTTGTTATTTCATTTCTTCCCGTGCTGTACGCATATGCGAGGATTCTCAGTTCACTCCCCTGTTTGAGACGTCTGTTGTCTAACCTGTGGATTCTGTGTTTGCGTTTTAATCTCTCAGTGGGTTCCAGAGTTCGGATTTCTTGATTTTCTCGGCACTTAGCAGGGTACAACATACAGATTAATGAGGTGACTTTTGAGTCGACTCAAAAGTCACTTCGGATTTCTTGATTTTCTCGGCACTTAGCAGGGTACAACATACAGATTAATGAGGTGACTTTTGAGTCGACTCAAAAGTCACTTCGGATTTCTTGATTTTCTCGGCACTTAGCAGGGTACAACATACAGATTAATGAGGTGACTTTTGAGTCGACTCAAAAGTCACTTCGGATTTCTTGATTTTCTCGGCACTTAGCAGGGTACAACATACAGATTAATACTTCTGTCTTTTTTTTTGCTAAAAGTGACTTCCTGACTGCAGCTCACCCCGTCCACATGGCTGATTCTGTGTTTGCTGGAAGCCTGGAAGTGTAGTATGTTGCTTATGCGGACACAATTCATTGGTTCTGGTGTTCGTTTTGTGCCTGTGCATCCACATGCCCTGCTGTATGCATTTATGTGCACATGGATGGATGCGCACCATTATGTGTATGCGTGGGCATGCACACACCTGCGTATGTCCATGTATGCCCATGCATGCATGCATGCAAATGCACATGTATGCATGTGTGCAACCCACAGGTGGCCATTACCATGTACAGGTGAGAGAACCCCTGCAACGACGCTCCATGCTGCTCCGTTCCGTACCATTCTCTTCCACTTTCGTTTGTGAAAGGCTTCCACGCTCCATTCCTTCTCTTTGGATCAAGAGATCAAGAATGATGACACAAACTAGGGCGTATGGGAGGAGGCCTTTACACAAACTTTATTTCAAGTCCATGCTCTACCTCCTCCCATACGCCCTCTTTGCCTTTCAACACGAACAAGGTCGTGGCAATGAATACCACAGATCGCAGCCCATCAGCGCAACCAGTCAGTTCCTCCCTCCCCTCCAACCGCACAGGACCGTGATGACCATCATTCGCAACCCTGCAGCCGACCCAAGCATCTCTGCCGCCTTCCAATACGCCGCCATAACCTTTGCAGGCTCCACCTCCATTGGTATGTATGTATGTATGTGTCTTAGCTTTGTCCCATTGCCTCCTTGTCTCAAACCAAGCACTGCACTGCACCCATTGGTTCTGCGTCTGATTTGTTTTTCTCCACAGTTCTATCTCTTTCCTACTCCCCCACATACGTGGTTGCTTCAAACGCCTCTTAACTTTTCCCTCACCTTTCCCTTTCCCTGTGCTGCCTCATCTCTGCCTGACCTCTTCCAACTTTGCCCTGACCTCTTCCAACTTTGCCCTGACCTCTTCCAACTTTGCTCTGCCCTCTTCCAACTTTGCTCTGCCCTCTTCCAACTTTGCTCTGCCCTCTTCCAACTTTGCTCTGCCCTCTTCCAACTTTGCTCTGCCCTCTTCCAACTTTGCTCTGCCCTCTTCCAAGTTTGCTCTGCCCTCTTCCAACTTTGCTCTGCCCTCTTCCAACTTTGCCCTGCCCTTCTCCACGTTTCCACTGCAGGTGTAGCTGTGGCGCTCTTCTCTGCTCTCATATCCTGCTAAACGCCCTTCACCCCTTCCTTTGCCCCTTCCTTTGCCATCTTCCCTCCACCTCTTCCGTTATCAACCTCCCTTTGCTCCTCCTTCACAAACCTCCTTTACCTCGTCCTTTATCAATCTTCCTTTCAGTCTTGCTCTGCCTTCTTCTGCACATCACGTTTTGAGACTTCTCATAACCTTGATCCTCGTTCCACACTTCATTAACGTTTGATTTTGCTGATTTCTCACATTCGTTTTCGTGACTTCACTTGCTCTGGTTGTTGCTCGTGGAAAACCGTTCTGTGCTCTCTTTCTGAGTCGACTCAAGATCCATTTGTACCCATCCTTAACTCCGTTGTGCCGTTTTGCTACGTGTGACCTGGTGTGTTGCTGTATACGGCGTACCATCCAACACCTCTTCAAGTATGCCGGCCTCTCCGTGAAGAAGTGAGTTCCTCTCTGCCCCAGCGTGAACTATGGCTTGCACGGATCTGCAACTTGCTGCTCGCTGCCTCACATCCTGCATGCACCATAGCACCATCCACCACCTCTTCAAGTATGCCGGCCTCTCCGTGAAGAAGTGAGTTCTTGCCTTTTATCTAGTACCACAACTCTCAACTCCGCATGCTGTCTGTGTCACTCGTGATTTTTCCAAGTGCCCATTCTCCTGGCCCACTCTTCTCCCCTTCCCTCTTCCCCTTTTTTGTTCCTCTCACAGTCTCCCCTGCCTTGATTTCCTTTGGATACATCCAAATTATAACATGAAAGGTGCCCACTTCCCCCTTCCCCCTCTTCTCCCTTCCTTCCAACTCCCCGCTTTGCTTCCACACACAGTCTTCACAACCTCGAGTGCTGCCTCATCGTTCTCTTCCCCTACATCTCGTGAGCCTTCCTCCCCTCCCCTTGCCGTAACGCCCATGGTCAAATCGAGTCGATGCATTCAGCATTTCAATAAAATTGAATTGGGCCATTCGTTGTGTACAATAACAGGCATGCTTGCCCCGTTTTGTCTCCATACCCTCCCTGTCCCTTCCTGTAACGCCCTACCCTTCCCCGCCCCTCTCTGTTGTTCTGTTGTATGTTGTCCCATAACTGTCTCTGCCGTTTAACCCCACTCTACCTCTCTTCCCGTCGCTGGTCTCTGCCATTCTGCACCTCCTCCCAGCTATCTCGTGGCGGAGGGCCTTACTCTCTCAGGCATCGTTGCCATCCTCTGCCCCCTTTTGCCCCTCTCCACCCCTCTCTCCGCCTCCTGTCCCTCTGCACCACCTCTCAGCTATCTCGTGGCGGAGGGCCTTGCACTCTCAGGCATCGTTGCCATCCTCTTCTGTGGAATTGTAAGCCCCTCATTTGCAACTTTTTTTTTTTTGTGTTTTTTTATTCTTGTTTGGTTCCTACATGCCCTCTTAACACACCATCCGTTTTTTGTACTAACGTCCCTTCTTCCCCTCCCAAGCGCTACACCTTCCCCAACCTCTCAGAGGTGGCGCAGGTCCTCTCTGCTCCGCACTCCGCACCCCGCATCCCACCTCTCCCCACCCACACGCACCCCGTTGCCCACTTTCCCCACTCCTCCGCCTTTCTTCTCCAACACCCCCTCCTCCCCCCCCCTCCTCCCCCCCCCTCCTCCCCCCCCCCCCCTCCTCCCCTCTCCTCCCCTCAGCTCATGAAGCGATACACCTTTCCCAACCTCTCCGAGGTGGTCCAAGTCCTCTCTGCTTCACACTCCCCATACGCTTCTCCACTCCCCATACGCTTCTCCACTCCCCATACGCTTCTCCACTCCCCATACGCTTCTCCACTCCCCTGTACACCCCGCTTCCCCCCACCTTTCCATCCTTCTCCCCCCCTCCCCTCAGCTCATGAAGCGCTACACCTTCCCCAACCTCTCAGAGGTGGCTCAAGTCCTCTCTGCCGGCTTCTTCCAGCTCATCGCCTCCATCGCTGAGACCTTCACGTGAGTGAGCCCTCCTTTCCGTGTACTGGTAAAAGGTCAGCAAGTGTCCCTCGTGGTGCTAGTATGGCTCCTCTGCTTCCCAGCTCCTCTCTGCCGGCTTCTTCCAGTCCAACTCATCGCATCCATCGCTGAGACCTTCACGTGAGTCATAGCTTGGCATACTCACTTGATAAGCACCCACGTGATAAGCACCCACGTGATAAGCACCCACGTGATAAGCACCCACGTGATAAGCACCCACATGATAAGCACCCACGTGATAGGCACCCACATGATAAGCACCCACGTGATAGGCACCCACTTGATACATACCCACTCTAGGTGACGGCTTCACTGTCACAGAGGTTGCATTGGTAAAGTATGGGACTTATTTCTTGAACGCTTAGCATGGCCCCAGTGGTCGCATTGGTAAAGCAAGAGAGTTCCCCACCTTCCCCCCTCCCCAGCTTCATCTACATGGGTAAGGAGATTGTCGGGGGGGAGGGGGGGGGGGGGCACCAGCAGTGTAGTGTTTACGTGTTGGCGCAACCTCAACCTCCCTAACCAGTCCCCACCTCTCCATTCCCTTCCGTGGCTCTTTCCCCTCCCCTCTCCCTCCCTCCTCAGGTTCATCTACATGGGAACGGAGATTGCTCTGGGGGAGCACCAGCGGTGGGGGCACATCAGCTTCATCTTCTTCTCCATCGTGAGTGAGATGAAGCCATGGGCGCTGGGGTGGGATGGGGCGCGGCAGGGCGCTGGGCTGGGATGGGGTGGCATGGGGTGGCATGGGGCGGCATGGGGTGGCATGGGGTGGCATGGGGTGGCATGGGATGGCATGGGGTGGCATGGGGTGGCATGGGGTGGCATGGGGTGGCATGGGGTGGCATGGGGTGGCATGGGGTGGCATGGGGTGGCATGGGGTGGCATGGGGTGGCATGGGGTGGCATGGGGTGGCATGGGGTGGCATGGGGTGGCATGGGGTGGCATGGGGTGGCATGGGGTGGCATGGGGTGGCATGGGGTGGCATGGGGTGGCATGGGGTGGCATGGGGTGGCATGGGGTGGCATGGGGTGGCATGGGGTGGCATGGGGTGGCATGGGGTGGCATGGGGTGGCATGGGGTGGCATGGGGTGGCATGGGGTGGCATGGGGTGGCTTGTGGGATGGACCTTGTTGTGCAATCCAGTTTAACCATTCGAAACCCCTTTGGTCCCCCCTGAGTTCCCTCTCCTGCACTATTCAGTCACGCCCTTTGTAGAGGGGTGTGTGAGTGCAAGCAAGCACATCCTTGGATTCATTCTTGAGATTTGTTAACAGTATGCCGGGTGACTTTCGAGGCGCTTCAAAAACCACTCTTGAGAATTATTAAAAGCATCTTCTTGTGCATGTGCGGGGTGTGTGGGGGGGGGGGGGGGGGTTGGGTGGGTGCGTGTGGGTGCGTGTGGGTGCGTGTGGGTGTGTGTATGTGTTTTTCCTTTCCTCCCATGCTTCACCGCTGCCCTGTCGGCATATGAACTCCTCCCAACTCATCGTGATGCCTCTCCAATTCACCGGCGCTCTTGTCAGCTCTTCATAGCTGTAGCAAGGTGAGTAACGGTGTAGCAAGGTGAGAAGCGGTGTAGCGAGGTGAGAGGGGGTGGTGCAAGCAAGGTGAATGGGGTTGTAACAAAATAAATGAGCAGGCTGTGCAGGCGTCAACGTTCCCTTAACTACCAGATGGATTTGAAAAAATATATGATCAATAGAAGAGAAAGAACATGTCAGTGAGTAGTCCTGTTACTATCCTCTTCTCCAAAAGCGAGTGTTTCCTTACATATCAGCATGCCTCAAATCTATCCATCCTGCAACCACTCCAGTATGCCGGCATGGCATCCAGATCACACTCCCATTCAAATCTCTTCCTCCTCTCCATTCTCCTCCCTCCTCTCTTCCGCCCCCATCTCCTTTCAGAGCCGCCAATGTGTTCCCCTGCACGCATCTCATCAACCTCTTCCTCCTCCGTACCCTCTATCCTTCCTCCGCTCCCTCCCTGCTCCCTCCCCCGCATTTTTCAACCCCATCAGGGCCGCGAATGTGTTTCCGTGCGCGCATCTCATCAACCTCTTCCGCCCTCCCTCCAAGCAAATACCTGACAGCCACCAAAAGGCGCTCTGGTTTAGTGGTCAGTGCCCTCTTTTGAGAGCGTGTTTTTTGAGAGTTCTCAAAAGTGATTTCAAATACCTGACAGCCACCAAAAGGCTCTCTGGTTTAGTGGTCAGTGCCCTCTCCCTCCTCATTTTCGATCACTCTATCACTACAACAACACTCCCTCACTCTACCGCCCTGCCACTTTTGATTTCAACAAAAAATCGGACTGCTAGCAGAAGGCTCTGTGGTTCAGTGGTGGTCAGTTCGCCCTCTCTCACCCCATCTCACCCCATCTCACCCCATCTCACCCCAACTCACCCCACCTCACCCCACCTCACCCCTGCCCTCAGGTCTGCGAGGAGCCATGGCGTTTGGGCTGGCTCTGCAAGCAACACATGACCTACCCAACCACAGCCATGGGAGGGCGATATTCACCACCACAACAGCTATTGTCATGCTCACTGTAAGCACGCCTCCTCTTTTCAGTGTCATTCTCTGCATCACCTGTTGTCTGCCCAACCACGGGCGTGGAAGGGCGATTTTCACCATTACAACCGCTATAGTCATGCTCACTGTAAGCACCTCATGTGCCACTGTATTGTCTTAGAGTGCTTCATGTTTGTAAAATGCAACCACTCCTCTGTGTCTCCTACTTTCATATCTCACAGGTGATTCTGTGAAAGTAGATGTAGAATCACCTGTGAGATATGAAAATGATTCTGCTGGGTGGAAGCACGTCCACTGTGTTGGAGTGGCTGCGTGTTTGTCAGTCAGGTTTCAGGCTCCTCAGTTTCTTGCTTTCCCTCTATCCTTCTTTCCGCCTATCTCTCCCCCCACACAACCCCATCCCTTCAGGTGATTCTGCTGGGCGGCAGCACGTCGACTGTGCTGGAGCGGCTGCGTGTGACGGGGGACAGATACAGCCAGCTGAGACAGGTGCGGTGCGGTGAAGAGCGGTGAGCAGAGATGAAGAGAGATAATGAGTGGTGAAGAGGGATGAAGAGGGATAAGGGATAAAGAGGGATGATTCGAGGTGAAGGGGGTTGTGGTAAATCGTGGTTAGAGCGGCAGATCACTTTGCAAGCTGATGGGTGTATGATTATCCAGGAACAGAGCTGTGAGGAATCATTAAGAAAGGTGTGCAAGGTGCAGAGGATGAGAGCGCTCTGACTCATGGACTCATGCATCATATATCATGTATACATGCTGCAGGAATGGGAGGGCGGGATGTACGTGTTGACATGACAGTCATGAGAAAGCGAACACCTTTCTCTTTCCAAACCCCCTGCCGTCCTTTCCAGCCGGATGACACATCGGATGAGGAAGAAGAGGAAGAGAGCACCATCATTCACGGACTCATACATGCACATGGAGCACAGAGGCAGTGGAAATCCAGCTCATGTTTCTTGTGCCAAACCCCTGCCGTCCTTTTCAGCCGGATGACACATCGGACGAGGAAGAAGAAGAGGGCAGTGGCATGACGCACGGCCTCATACATGCACATGAGGACACACATGGGAGCGCACGCGGCCATGGGCATGGTGATGGGCGTGGGGGAGGGCGAGGAGGAGGGCGAGGAGGAGGGCGAGGAGGAGGGGAGCCGAATAGGGCTCCGTTTTCGCCCCAGAAGTTGGGCTCTGCTGATGTGTATTCCCAACACCATGTCAACATCCTGCCAGAAAAGTGCGTACGGGTGCGGGTTTTTTTCATCTATGCACGTGCGAATGGGTGACGCACACACATGCAGGCACATGCATGCACATGCAGGCACATGCATGCACATGCACTCGCGTGTGCGCACACACGCCCATGCAAATGCATTCACACGTGTATGCACATGGGGGCATGTGTGAACCTACACGTTCACACACATACATCCTTTTGCACATGCAGGCACATGCACGAACACAGTTTGGCCAGGAGAGAAGGCCACGTACATCCAACAACTCATCTTGAGCTGCCTCAGATAATCTTTCTGAGGCGCCTAAAAAATCAGTTTTTGGTTAGGAGAGAAGGCCAGGTACATCCAACAACTCTTCTTGAGCCGCCTCAAATAATCTTCTTGAGGCGCCTAACCAACAAGTTTTTGGTCAGGAGAGAAGGCCAGGTACATCCAACAACTCTTCACGGCAAAGCCTGCAAAACGTGGCACCTCACTGGGCCCCTTGTCGCTCTTGCCTCACCCCCGTGGTGTATCCTTACAGCCCTTCCTTTGTTCGAGGACCTTGACTCCTAAGTGAATTCGACCGTTCTTCACCCCCCCTCCTAAGTGGTGTAAGGCCTGCAATGAGGCATCTCAAAGGCACCCCCCCTCCCTTCTCCCCCACCCCGTTCTCTCTCCCATCTGTCTCCGTCCAGCCCTTCCCTTTGAGTCTTCATGGTCGTCATGCTGGTTAGTTACATGTGCTGAGGCCATTGCCAAAGCCACAATTTCGTGATCATCGTTTAATTGTTTTTACATTTTGGCTACGACTCAAAAGTTCTCTCTCTCTCTCTTTGCGATCTGCCTTTCAGTTAGCTTCATACTATAGGAGCCACTTCTGAGAATTTTCAATAGTCGCACCAATATAGGAGGCCCCCCCTTGCTCAGTAGTTCTTCACCACTGAGTGCAATGGCTACAATGAGCTCATGGCCAATCCAGGGTTCAACATAAACTGCACTTGGTGGTATAAATTACTGAGCGAGAGGGGCCACTTATTGTATGAAGCTAACTAAAGACCGTTCATCCAAGAGAGGGACAGCATTCGAGTTGCAGCGATGATGTGAAAAAACAATTGTTATGTTGAAAACAAAATTCTGACATTGGCAATGGTCTCGTCTCCGCACACGTAACCAGCATGACGACCAGAAATGCTCCGTGGAGTCCCCTCTCCCCCACCCTGTTCTCTCTCCCATCTATCTCCGTCCAGCCATTCCCTTTGAGGACCACAAATCAAAGTAGATCTGACCATGCACACTTCACGGCAGAGCCAACAATCTGAGGCGTCCCCCTCTTTCTGTTGCATAACCCCTGTTTCTCTCCTTGCTACCCGTCCCTTGGAGGACCTCGATTCAAAGTACATCTGACCGGTCTTCATGTCAAGAGCCTGCAAAATGTGGCACCTCATACGCTCCCCCACCTTCTCTCTCTCTTGTTCACCCTGTTTTCTAATCCTTGCAGCCCTTCCTTTGAGGACCTTGATTCGAAGTACATCCGGCCGTTCTTCACCGCTGAGCCTGCACCTGATACACGACGAAAGGAGGGTGCAGGGGCGGACAGGGCGGGTGAGAGGGACAGAGGTGGAGGAGTGGGAGGGGGAGTGGGAGGAGTGGGAGGAGGAGTGGGAGGAGGGAGGTCGCCCCAAATCACCTCACCACAGAGGAGAGGGGCCAGTGGTGTTGGCAGTGGTGGTGCTACTCCTGCTGCTGCTGGCGGGCTTTCAGGGAGTTTATTGGAACGAAGAAGCTCTTTCCGGTCTGGTTCGCCCACCACACGTAGCACACAGGGAGGTTCGGGAGAAGCGGGAGGCTTGAGAGGAGTGGGAGGGGGGGAATCACCGAAAGCAACCTCCCCGCAAAGGAGGGGTGACGCGGTAGGGCCGTTTGGGAGTCCTCCGGATAAGAAGGGTATTTTCCAGCTGGGTTCGCCTGTGCCTGCACGTGGTGCACGATAACTCCCAAGGGCGGCTTGATCTCCTTTTGTACAGTGCATTATATTACATTAAAGTGTTACGATGCGATTACCGTATGTAGCTTACAAACAGTAACTGGGTTTAAAAGGCATTAGAATCATTGTGTCTAAGAGCATGGCCTGTGATGGCTCAGAACAATATTCTCATGCCTGCAGCACTATGATTGTTGCAGTACAGGGCCTGTGCTAGGATTTTGGGCACCCTGAGCCATCAGGGTAACTTTTGAAAAATCTCTGAAATGCCCTGATTCTTCAGGGCAAATTTTTCTGGCCATCCTGAAATTTCAGGGCACCAGCAGAAATTCATCTGGATGATTCAGGGCAAAAAATATGAAAGGAGGGGAAGGCACGAAAGGAGCAGGTTGTTCACTGGTTTCACTTCTACTGGCGGAGCAAAAACATTGGTGGGGGAGGGGTGAGGACAAAACTAGCACACACACCCTCCAGCCTCCTTCCTCCCCTCTCTCCCTCTCCCTCTCTCCCCCCTCCACCCTTTCTCCCCTTCCAACGAGTCAGGGAATCCCTCTACATTCACCCTAACGCTTCAGGGCAAAAATTCACTGCCATTCTGAAATTTCAGGGAAAAACACAAGGATCATCCTGACGTCATAGGGTAAATTTCAGCATCATTCTGAAATTCCAGGGCAAACTTAAGACACCATCCTGAAATCAGGGTAATCAGGATGTTTTGCCCTGATATCGTGGGCCCTGTTGCAGTATATCACAGCTTGTTTGCTGCTATTGCAATAGTAGCGTATTCTTACTTTAAACAGAAATTTCAGATAGAAATTTGAGTTGCGAATGCCCGTAGCGGATTTTGTTGTAACGCAGTTTCGAATCTCACTGTTTTGGCAAGCTCTCCCCCCTCAGTGTCGACATTTCTCGCGTAGAAGTCAGATTCTGTGGTCGCTTGCTGTAACCACAAGTTCGCCATGTCGTCAGACCCGCCGTGTTACCTTCCAGATGACTCGGACGAATCGCCCGAGCATAGCGACGATAACTGGGATAGCTCTAGCGAGGATACTGGTAAACGGAGAGAAGCCAAGGAGAAGGCAGATGTAGTCTCGGCGATTTTGCTGGCGGCAGCAGCGTCGGATGCGGAGAGCCGTCCAATTGGCGACGATGAGGTGGACGCGGTGCTGCGAGAGCTAGGCGTTAGTAACAATGACGTCAGCAACGACGTCAGCAGAGACTGTATCGAGGGAAGCAATAATGGAGGGGAGCCTCGGAGAAAGGAGGGAGAAGAGTCGGGAGGAGAGAAGAGAGGGAAGGAGAGAGGAGGAAGTGGAGGCGAAGGGAGAGGAGAGAGGAGATTCGAGGACAGAGGAGGAGAAAGCGAAGCAGATAGAGGCAGAGAGAGTGAGAGCGTGGGGAACGGCGAGCCGTGTGAACAGGGTGGGGAAATGGGTAAAGAACGGTTGAGAGAGATGGGGAGGGAGAAGGACGGGGAGAGGGAGGGAGAAGATCAGGAGAGGAAGGGGAAGGAGGAGAGAGTAGAGAGGGAGGACGAGAGGAAGAGAGAAAAGGGGAGGAGGGAGCAAGAGAGGGAGAGGGAGAGGGAGAAACGGGAGGAGGAGGAGGGGAAGGAGAAGGAGAAGGTGAGGGAAGAGGAGAGGAGGAGGGAGGCGGAGAGTGAGAGAGTGAGGAGGAGAGGCACAGGCAGGTCCCTGTGGTCGCACGGGTGGTTGCCGGGGAAAAGACACGCGGATGAGGTGAGGCGTGGGGAAAGAATGATCAGGAGGAGGGGCACAGCACAGGCAGGTCGCTGTGGTCACATGGATGGTGCTGGGGAAAAGACACGCAGATGAGGAGAAGTGTCGGAAGGGGTGGGGTAAGGTATGGGTATGTCAGCTACACACTGTGGCTTAGGTGAGAGGAACAGGCAGGTCCCTGCCCATCCATGCCCATCCATGCCCATGCCCATCCATGCCCATGCCCATCCATGCCCATGCCCATCCATGCCCATCCATGCCCATGCCCATCCATGCCCATCCATGCCCATGCCCATCCATGCCCATCCATGCCCATGCCCATCCATGCCCATCCACGCCCATGCCCATCCATGCCCATCCATGCCCATCCATGCCCATCCATGCCCATCCATGCCCATGCCCATCCATGCCCATCCATGCCCATGCCCATCCATGCCCATCCATGCCCATGCCAATCCATGCCCATCCATGCCCATCCATGCCCATGCCAATCTATGCCCATCCATGCCCATCCATGCCCATCCATGCCCATGCCAATCCATGCCCATCCATGCCCATCCATGCCCATCCATGCCCATCCATGCCCATCCATGCCCATGCCCATCCATGCCCATCCATGCCCATCATGCCCATCCATGCCCATCCATGCCCATCCATGCCCATCCATGCCCATCCATGCCCATCCATGCCCATGCCCATCCATGCCCATCCATGCCCATCCATGCCCATCCATGCCCATCCATGCCCATCCATGCCCATCCATGCCCATCCATGCCCATGCCCATCCATTCCCATCCATGCCCATCCATGCCCATCCATGCCCATCCATGCCCATCCATGCCCATCCATGCCCATGCCAATCCATGCCCATCCATGCCCATCCATGCCCATCCATGCCCATCCATGCCCATCCATGCCCATCCATGCCCATGCCAATCCATGCCCATCCATGCCCATCCATGCCCATCCATGCCCATCCATGCCCATCCATGCCCATCCATGCCCATCCATGCCCATGCCCATCCATGCCCATCCATGCCCATGCCCATCCATGCCCATCCATGCCCATCCATGCCCATCCATGCCCATCCATGTCCATGCCCATCCATGCCCATCCATGCCCATCCATGCCCATGACCATGCCTATGCGGTCCATGCCCATACGCACAGCCATACTCATGCCATCTCTCTGCCCACCCAACCTCTGCTCACCTTCACCGCAGGACGAGAACCAGCAGGAGTGGCGGCAGCACGGCCGGCATTTCCTGGTCGTCACCAATGCGGGCAAGCCCGTCTTCTCACGGTGATTGCCTGCCTGCCTACCAGGAGCATTTGGGAGCTGTTGTTGAGCTGTTGAGACGCTCGCCTCGCCCTTGCCGCCGACCCGCACCTTGGTTCTCGCGAAGTGTTGAAGTTCAACAAGGGACATTGACATTGGGACCAATGATGATTTTGATCTACACTCATTTCTCACTCACGCCTGCACCATCGACATTGGGACTTTTGCCCCAACCCGTTACAAGGGAGAGCTAGCAGCGTTCAGTTGAGTTGAGGTAGCTGCTGGATTGTGAGGCGACCCAAAAGTCAACAAGGGCAGGCTAGCAGCGTTAAGGTAGCTGCTGAAGCTTCTGATGTGCTCCAGGTTCCTGTATCTGCGCTTTCCCGTCCACCCCCCCCCCCCCCTTGCCACGCTGCCCTCCGCTTTTGAGTCGACTCAAAAGCTTTCCCGTCCACCCCCTTGCCACGCTGCCCTCCACTATGCGCCTGGACCCCTCAGGTATGGTGATGAGTGCAAACCAACCAGCCGCATTTGGCTGGGGTGCTGCAGTGCAGGTTTTGATTTGCTCCTTGTGACGTGGTTTAAGGTTTTATTCGGGAGGTCTAAAAAATAACCTTACATCACGTGCTTCTCCTTTCAAACCTCTTCCTTTCTCCCCTCCTCTCCCCTTTCCCTCCCCACATCATCTACCCAGGTACGGGGACGAGTACAAGCTAGCAGCGTTCGGAGGGGTGCTGCAGGCGCTGGTGGCGTATGTGGAATCGACAGGAGACCACATCCGGAGCATTGCTGCTGGGCTGCATCAGGTGGGCTGGGCTGCATCAGGTTACTGTTGCATGAGATTCACCAGGTGCATGTGCCATGACGTGCATGGCTTTGGCATGACATGACATGGCATGACATGACATGGCATGGCATGGCCTTGGCTTGTATGGCGATGCCTAAAATTCCCTCTTCCCTCCGCCACCCCTGTTGTCACTGGCTGGCAGGTCCTCTTCCTCGTGCACGGCTCCTTCTACCTGGTGGCCATCACAAATGCTTCTCCCCTCCAGCTCCCCCCGTTCCGCATCTTTCCACCCTCCAACCCCTCCCTCACCCACACCCTGTCCCCCCCTGTCAAAGGTCCTCTTCCTCGTGCGCGGCTCCTTCTACCTGGTGGCCATCACAGATGCGGGCGAGCCGGAGCCAATCATAGAGCGACAGCTGGACCACCTCCACAAGATGGTGAGAGGAGATGGAAGGAAGGGATGTGTTACCATCCGTGTACCCTATTCTCAGACCAAAAGCACATTTGGGGAATTTTCAAAAGTTTTTCTAGTATTACTTGAGATCTTCCTGTCTGATAGAATGGAACTTGAGTCTTGAGTCACATTTTACTCTCCATTGTCGGAAGGATGTACACCGTTTCCTATGCAGCCATGTCCCTTTTGAGTCGACTCAAAAGCGTTTCCTATGCAGCCATGTCCCTCCCTCACATCATCAGCTCGTGTTCTTTCCGTAATAGAGAATCTCTCCCATTATTAAACAGTTCTCCCCCCCCGCCTCCTCTCCCCGGGACCTCGTGCTGCTCGCATCAGTCATTGTAAAGTCGTTTCTGTGTCGAGAAAGTTTCAAAACTCATGCACATTCCACTCCGCCATCTCCCCCTCAACTCCCTCCTCCAACCCTCCTTTTCCCCCCACCAGTCCCTCATGCTACTGACATCAACCATCCAGAGGTCTCTCCTGTTTTGCAATGTCTCATCTCATCACTCATGCAGACCCGTTCAACGCATCTCTCATGCCCTCTTCCCTTGCCTTCCCGCCTCCCCCCTCCCACCCCCACCAGCTCCTCATGCTGCTGACGTCAGCCATTGAGAGGTCGTTTCTGCGCAACCCCAAGTTTGACATCCGGCCACTGCTGGGCGGCACGGATCGTCTCTTCTCCGCTCTCATCCACTCCTTCTCCTGGTAACTCGTCACCCCTCGCAAAGTCAAAGAGAAGGGCACACGCACACACACACACACACACACACACACACACACACACACACACACACACACACACACACACACGCACGCACGCACACACACACGCACGCACGCACGCACACCCTTCTAACAATGCCATACCATTGTATGCCTTGCCCCCCTCACTCCCAAGACCGCTGCTGCTTCTGATGCTGTTGGTGGTGCTTCTGCTGTTGGTGCTGCTGCTGCTGCTGCTGCTGCTGCTGCTGCTGCTGCTGCTGCTGCTGCTGCTGCTGCTGCTGCTGCTGCTGCTGCTGCTGCTGCTGCTGCTGCTGCTGCTGCTGCTGCTGCTGCTGCTGCTACGTCATGCTTCCATTATCCACGTACGCCCTTGCCCTCCCCATCCCACTCACAGGGACCCAGCCAGCTACCTCTCGTCCATGCGCTGTCTGCGCATACCGGCATGGGTGCGCACAACAGTGAGCGGCGCAATCAAGACGGCTGCCGCCGCCTCCCCTGCGCTCTTCGCGCTGGTCTTCTCGGGCTTTGAGGTGGTGACAGTGGCGCACAGGAAGCGAGAGCCTCTTCACTCCGATGACATTTTCCTGCTGCTCAACTTCCTCAACGCCTCAGATTCCTTTCGGTAAGACTTAAACTGGTCTTGAGTAAGTACCCTCCAAAAGTCACCTGGACTTAGACTGGTCTTGAGTAAGTACCCTCCAAAAGTCACCTGGACTTAGACTGGACTTGAGTACCCTCCTGCCATACCTGTGCTCTTCACGCGCCTACCTCCCCTGCGCTCTTCGCGCTGGTCTTCTCGGGCTTTGAGGTGGTCACAGTGGCGCACAGGAAGCCAGGGCCCTTGCATTCAGACGACGTCTTTCTGCTGCCTGCTCAACTTCCTCAACGCCTCAGACTCACTCTGGTAAGCTGTAGTTTGGTCTCTATGTAAGTCGCTGCCTCCTCCGTGCCCTTTGCGTCACACTGATCGTCTGGGCTTTGAGGTGGCCACAGTGGCGCACAGAGAAAGCCAGAGCCAGAGCCTTTGCACTCAAGTGTCGTGTTCCTCCTACTAGCTGGTTTCTGAGAATTTTCAAAAGCCAGCTCGTATCACAGTGGTGCACAAAAAGCGAGAACCTCTGCACTCAAGTGACGTCTTCCTTCTACTGAACTTCCTCAATGCTTCCGATTCCTTCTGTATGCCATCAAGTGGTCTCGTCTGTGTGACACGTCAAGACGTACAGGGTTAGGGTTTCGCTGTGTAAGCTGATTCAGAAGTTGCTGCTCCTGCTACCCCTAGGGCTTCACGAGCTTGATGCAATATTTGAGTCGTCTCTTTTAATAAGATGGCTGCATCCTTGACTTGCTTTTCCGTGCATCTCCTCCTGCGCCTCTCCTCTCCCGCGCTACAACCCTCCCATCCAGAACATCACCTGAGTCACGCCAGTGTGTCTGCCTCACTACAACCCCGCCGCCTTCCTCTATGCCTATTTGCACTACTGCCTTTTGCCTTGATGGTTTCCAAAAACTCTCCCTCCCTGCCAACTCTCTCTTCCTTCCGTCCTTCCCCCCTTTTGCATCTTCCCCACAATCTCCCTCCCAACCATCACCAGAACATCACCCGAGTCATTCACGCCAGTGTGTCTGCCTCACTACAACCCCGCCGCCTTCCTCTATGCCTATTTGCACTACTGGGCGGCAGAGCAACCGCTGCTTTGCACTCGTGATTCAATCCCCCTTGTCTTCCCGTCTCTCCTTGCCTCCCTCCCACCCACCCAGAACATCCCCCGAGTCCTTCACGCCAGTGTGTCTCCCTCACTACAACCCCGCCGCCTTCCTCTATGCCTATGTGCACTACTGGGCGCCACACCAGCCTCTGCTTTGCACTCGTAATTCAGCCCCCTTTCTCTTCCCCTCCCTCCCAAATCCTACCCTCCCAGAACATCACCCGAGTCCTTCACGCCCGTGTGTCTGCCTCACTACAACCCAGCCGCCTTCCTCTATGCCTATGTGCACTACTGGGCGGCAGAGCAGCCACTGCCGCCCACTCCTTGCACCATCCACTCCCACTCCTCCCTCCACTCCAACGCCCCCCGCTCAAACTCCTCCCGCTCCTCCTCCCGGTCGCAAGCAAGTGCTGGTGCTGACGCCACAGCTAGTAACAACAACAGCAACAACAGCAAAAGCAACATCAGCAGCAGCGGTAACAACAACAGCAGCGACAACAGCAATAGGAGCAGTGATGGCAGTAGCATTACCGGCGGTGAAAAGGAGACTGGGTCTGGGGCGCCAGTGTACGATCACCACCAGTCGCGGGGAGACACGGGGCTGCTGCTTCTTTCCGCTGATCCCAACAGCTTCCACTCACTCAAAGACGTCAGGTGAGGTGTGGTGAGGTGTGGTGCAGTACAGTGAGGTGCAGCAGGGTGGGTAGCGGTATCAGGGAAAGCAGCAAGGATTCAGGGCACCATTGTAACATCACCACCAGTCGCGGGGAGACACGGGGCTGCTGCTGCTCTCTGCAGATCCCAACAGCTTCCACGCACTCAAGGATGTGAGGTGAGGCGAGGTGTGCTGAGGTGTGGTGCGGTGCGTTGCGGTGTGGTGAGTTCGAGCGATGAGAGGAACAGCAGTACGGCGCCATTGCACGACCATCACCAGTCGCGGGGAGACACAGGGCTGCTGCTGCTCTCTGCAGATCCCAACAGCTACCACGCACTCAAAGACAAACCACAAGCACCTGCGTATCATGTGATATTTCAAAACGAGTCCCCTCATTCTTCCTCCTGCAAAGGTCGCAATGGAACGCACACTGACTCTCTCAGTGTCTTTGCTCCGCGCCCATTATAGAAGGATAACGGTTGTCTTCTCCTGCACTTAAAAAGAGGGCACAGGGGCCTGCAGTGCAGTGCAGTGCAATGCGTTGCGGAGCAGTACGTCTACATGTAATTTCCTGGAAGATGTTAGATCATCTAGGTTTATTCCCAGTTTAGTCATGACCACACTACTCAAACCCCTCCCTTCTTTGTTGCATTGCAGGGTGGCAATGGAACGCACGCTGCTACAGTGCAACATCTTCCAGGAAATTTCCTCTGCAGCTTCCTCTCCTTCTCGCGGCGTCACTGTTCATCTCGTCCAATCACACATCGACTCGATCGCCGCCGCTTCTGCTGCAGCCAATAGGAGCGCTCGCACCACCACCACCGCCACTACTAGTAGCAGCAGCAGCAGCAGCAGCAGCAGTAGTAACAACGCTAGGCTCTCTCCCTTTCCTCCCTCCTCTCCTCGCTTCACTACCCCTTCTCGCATCGCCACCACCACTGCCACCAACCCTCCAACCACCACCACAACCACAAAATCCTCCTCCTTTCCTCAACGCACCTCCTCCCCTGCTCTCCGCTCCTCCTCTCGCCCTCTCCGTTCCTCCTCCCCTGCCCGCCGCTCCCCCTCCCCCTCTTCCCGCCGCTCTTCCTCCCCCTTCCGATCTCCCGCCCTCCTCCCCTCCCCCCAACCCCCTGGGTTGCCCTTTCCTGATCCATACGGACTAGGCCCTGGCATGGGGTGTGATATTATCCCCATGGGCCAATCAGAAAACGGTGCTGACGAGGATGATGATTACTCAGGGGCGTTCGACCAATCAGAGGGCCAGGGGGTGTTTGGTGGTGGGGGGGAGAGGGAGGGGGAGGGGGGAGGAGAAGGTGCGGAGGGAGGGGAAGGGGAGGAGGAAGGAGAGGAGGGAGAGGAGGAGGAGGATGAGGAGGAGGAGGATGGAGCAGTGTTAGCACTGGAAAAGCTGAGAAGTGTATTGGGAGGGGGCATGGCTGTGGGTATGGGCATGGGTACGGGTATGGGGATGGGCCAGCATGAAAACGATTCACCAGTGACAGAAGTGCCAATATCTGTTCCTCTTGAGCCATCCTCTGCTCCACCCAACCGGTCCCTCCCTCCTCCTCTCACCATTCCCACTCAGATATCCCCTCAGGTGCCGGCACAGCCACTCACACAGACACCCACACGGATGGCAGCACAGGTCGCAGTGCAGATAGCAGCGCAAGCAGCGCCCATGTGGGGCCCGCAGGGTCTGCTGCACTTCGTGTTCCGCAGCGTGCCTCTGCGCCAGTTCGTCCTGGCGGAGTTCCCCTCAGCGCTGAGCGACAGACGGCAGCAGAAGACGTGAGTGCATGGGGGTTGGGTGTGAGTGCTGGCTGGTTGGTAAGGTAGGGCTTGTAAAGCAAGTGAGCTGCCTCTGCGCCAGTTCGTCCTGGCAGAGTTCCCCCCGGCACTCAGCGACAGGCGGCAGCAGAAAACGTGAGTGGGGGAAGGGGGGAAGTGGCATGAGGGAGGGATGCTGAGTGGGTGGGTGGGTGGGTGAGTGGGTGGTGTTTGTTGGGTAGATGGGCTGCCTCTGCGGCAGTTCGTCCTGGCAGAGTTCCCTGCAGCACTCGGTGACAGGCGGCAGCAGAAAAGGTGAGTGCGCGGTGAGAGAGTTGGTGGAGGGATGCTGAGCGGGTGGGTGCGCTGCGCAGGGGGCGTGGCGTGGGAAAGGGGGGCTGGACCGGCAAAGGCTGTTTTGAGACGTCTCAAAGCACTCCTTTTTTCACCTGGACCGGCAAAGGCTGGTGAGCTTCTGTTTTGAGACGTCTCAAAACACTCCTTTTTTCACCTGGACCGGCAAAGGCTGGTGAGCTTCTGGCCTTCTAGGGCAGATGGGCTATCAAAGCAGGCACTCCTCTGTGATAGCCTTTCTGTGAAAGAAGGGGAGGCGAGTGAAATGGACTTCTGCGCCAGTCCGTCCTGGACTCATTTCACTCACCTCCCCTTCCTCCCCCCCTCCGCTTCTGTCCCTCCCTTGCCTCTCCTCACGCCCATTGCTCCCCCTCCCGCCGCTCTCCCCCTCCAACGAACAGTCTTCTGCGGGCTTACCAGACCATGCACTCCTCCATGACAGCTCAGACCCCCGTCACCGCACCGCACGCTACTGGCGGCGCCACGTCAGCAGCCTCCTCTGCCATGTCAGCATCCTCGTCGTCCGCGACAGCGTCATCATTGCTGGCTGCGATGGAAACCGGTGGCAGCTGCCCCGTGCCGGGCGGCATCAAGACGCAGTACAGACGAACCAAGGACTTCGGTGAGACATGCCTTTTGAGGCGCCTCAAAAGGACTTGGGTGAGACATGCCCTCTTCTCTGAAGATTTGAGTTGCATGCCATGCGAGTATCCCTCTACTCCACGTGAGCGACTCTGAGGCACCTTAGAAGGCGCTTCGCTACCTGCAACCTGAGCGTGCCAACCTGATGACATGGCTTTTGAGGCGCCTCAAAACCTGAGCGTGCCAACCTGGTGACATGGCTTTTGAGGCGCCTCAAAACCTGAGCGTGCCGACCTGATGACATGGCATCCATCGTATGATTATACCCCTCTCCCCCCATGCCCTCCTGCAGTGCTCCTCTCCTGGCGAACACATGACTTTGAGATCATGGCTGCATTCGACCCTCTCGCAACTAAGGTGCGGTTAGGGGCATGGCATGGTGGTGGCATGGGATGGTGGTGGCATGGCATGGTGGTGGCATGGCATGGTGGTGGCATGGCGTGGTGGTGGCATGGCATGGTGGTGGCATGGCGTGGTGGTGGCATGGCATGGTGGTGGCATGGCGTGGTGGTGGCATGGCGTTGTGGTGGCATGGCATGGTGGTGGCATGGCATGGTGGTGGCATGGCATGGTGGTGGCATGGCATGGTGGTGGCATGGCATGGTGGTGGCATGGCATGGTGGTGGCATGGCGTGGTGGTGGCATGGCGTGGTGGTGGCATGGGATGGTGGTGGCATGGCATGGTGGTGGCATGGCGTGGCTTAGCATGGTAGTAGCATGTCCGGGGTGAGAAAACGAGGGTGATGCCACTAGGCCCCAACCCCCCCATCTCCAGTAACCTGGTTGCTGGTGCTGTCAACCTTACCTCAGGTATCCTAAATATATTGAACGTAGACACTAGGTGCTGGCACAAGCTGCCAGCAGCAAGAGAAGGTTTTGAGAACTCTCAACAGTGACAAGCATAACCAGCAGCAGGAACCAGAGCTTCCCCCTTCTTTCCTATCAAACTTTCATTCACTTCCTCCTTTGCTACTCCCCACATCCCTTCACATCCCTTCACATCCCTTCACATCTCTTCACATCCCTTCACACCCCTCTTCTCCCTTCCCACTCCCCCACCAATTTATGTTGTTCAGAAGCCGGCCATTGCAGTGTGCAATGCCATCTGTCACATGCTGCAGCAGCTCGAGTCGGAGCTTTTCCTCCCAGGCTCCGTCGTCTTCTAACCTGTGCCAACACTCAGAATTACCTGTCACAACAGCCCAATCCTCTTTTGAGGTGCCTCAAAAGCCATCTGCTGCCACATGCTGCAGCAGCTCGAGTCAGAGCTTTTCCTCCCAGGCTCCGTCATCTTCTTAACTACCACTCCATTATCTCCTTCCTAGCCAGTACAGTTCTTGTTATTGCTACTGTGCTTGCGTTGTTATACTGGGTACATTATCCTAAGGCTCATGTAACACCAGTCATTCTCCTTAAAAAAAGCATTCTTCTTTACTGATACGGTAAAGACCAGGTACCACTGGTTACAATACAATATTCCACCAGTAACAGGGAAACCACTCTTCTTCAGTGGTAACGACAGATGGCCCTGCACTGGTTACAGCCGAAGACCCGGTGCTCATATCGCCGCTTTGATCCCTGGCTTCAGGAGAATCTGGTCTGCCTGGGGCAGGTGCAACTGGTGCAGGCTCGTCTGGAGAAGGCTCTGCCTGAGACAGCTGCACATCCATCAGTGCCCCGCACTGGTTACACCTGAAGGCCCCAGGTCCATTGGTTACACTATCACACGCCACAGTTACCACATCCGTCAGTGCCCCGCACTGGTTACACCTGAAGGCCCGGCGCTCGTCTCCCTGCTTTGGTCCCTGGCGACAGGAGAATCCGGTCTGCTTGGGGCAGCTGCAGCTGGTGCAGGCTCGTCTGGGGAAGGCTCTGCCTGGGACAGCTGCAGAGGCTGTTGAGATAGAGGCTGGAAAAGCGCATGGGGAAGGGAGAGGGGTGGATATCCAAAGAGGAAAAGGCAGTTTTAAGTCACGGGAAGAAAATCGTCTGCTTGGGGCAGGTGCGGCTGGTGCAGGCTCGTCTGGGGAAGGCACTGCCTGAAACAGCTGCACAGGCTGCTGCGAAAGAGGCTAAAAGACGTATGATGAATGACGAGGGGTTGGAACTTAACAGGGAAAATGTTGGTGTTACTTTGAAATTTCTCAAAAGTAACAGCAACACGAATGGTGAGGGTTTGGTTTGGAATCAAACAGGAAAAATGCCTTCTCGAGTCAAGGTGTGCTACAGCCTATGCTACAGCCTGTGCTATAGCCTATGTGCTACAGCCTGCTACAGCCTACGTGCAACAGCCTATGTGTAAGACCCACGCTGCCACAACTCACCGCGGTGTGATCAGCCAGAGCAGGGAAGGCAGCAGCAGAGACGCAGGCATATCTTGAGATGAATTAGAATACACCCTGCTTCATCGCACTTGCATCACTGCACCTGCTTCACCGCACCTGCTTCATCGCACCTGCTTCACCGCACCTGCTTCACCGCACCTGCTTCACCGCACCTGCTTCAACCTACACTGATTCAACTCACCGCGGTGTGATCATTGAGGGCAGGGAAGGCAGCAGAAAAAGGACCGGGCGGCAGGATGGTTTTCAAGTCGACTAGAAGATCAGCCCAAACTTGACTACCAACACTCGCCGCGCTTGAACCTACCTACCTACCAAGACTACCAAATGTTTGAGGAGCCTACGAAAATCAACCTACCTGTGTCAACTCACCGCAGTGTGATCCCCAAGGGCAGGGAAGGCAGCAGCAAAGGACCGGGTGGCAGGATGGTCGGCAGAGAGCGGGTGGGAGAGGGGAGCAGCGAGGGCAGCAGGGAGAGGCGGTATGGGGGCCTTGGGGCGGAGAACTCGAGCTCGGATGAAATCGTAGTAGTGCTGCAATGAGGAGGGGGGGAGAGATTGGAGGGTGGGAGAATGATATTCAGAGAGTGGGAGGGTGGGAGCGGTGAACAGCAAGAGAGGGAAGGAAAACAGAATGGGGGCCTTGGGGCGGAGGACTCTAGCTCGGATGAAATCGTAGTAGTGCTGCGATGGGGGAGGGGAAGATTGGGAGTGGGAGGGGTGGGCAGGGGTGAACAGCACGAGAGGCAGATAGAGGGGGTATGCAGGCCTTGGGGTGCAGGACTCGAGCTCGGATGAAATCGTAGTAGTGCTGCGAAAGGGGGGGACAGGGGGGTAGAGAGAGTGGGAGAATGAGAGGGCTGAACAGCTAGAGAGGCAGGGAGTGGCGGTATCTTGGCCTTGGGTTGGAGGACTCGAGCTCGGATGAAGTCGTAGTAATGCTGTGGGGATGGGAAGGGGGGAGAGGTGGGAGTGGGAGGTTGGGAAGGTGATAGGTGGGAGGTGAGGGCTGAACAGCAAGAGAGGCAGGGAGAAGTGGAATGCGGGCCTTGGGTTGGAGGACTCGAGCTCGGATGAAAGCATAGTAGTGCTGTGGGGATGGGAAGGGTGAAACTGGGAGGGTGGGAGGGCAAAACAGCTAGAGAGGCAGGGAGAGGCGATATGTGGGCCTTGGAGTGGAGGACCCGAGCACGGCACGGCACAGATGAAATCATAGTAGTGCTGTGGGGATAGGAAGGGAAGGAAGGAGAGTGAGAAATTAGTACTGGGAAAGCGTGTTAGAGGGGATTTTTGAGGCGCCTAAAAAAAAGTAGTGGGTAAGCGATTTTTTGAGGCGCCTAAAAAAAAGTAGTGGGAAAGCGTGTGGGTGAGAGGGGTGAACAGCAAGAGCGCCAGGGAGAGGCAGTATGGGGGCCTTGGGGCAAAGTACGCGAGCATGAATGGAATCGTAGTAGTGCTATGATTGGGGGGAAGGAGAGGGTGCTTTGAGTCGACTCAAAAAGGGGCCTTGGGGCAAAGTCCACGAGCATGAATGGAATCGTGGAAGTGCTATGATTGGGGGGAAGGAGAGGGTGGGAGAATGAGAGAGGGAGGGTGGGAGAATGAGAGAGGGAGGGTGGGAGAATGAGAGGGAGAGTGGGAGGGTGGGAGAATGAGAGGGAGAGTGGGAGGGTGGGAGAATGAGAGGGAGAGTGGGAGGGTGGGAGAATGAGAGGGAGAGAGGGAGGGTGGGAGGGGTGAACAGCAAGACGGGGAGGGGAAACGGATTGGGGAATTTGGAATGCAGGAATGAATGAAATCGTATTAGTGCTGTGCTGCAGGGAGAGAGAAAGAGAGAAGTACCTGCAGTGCCGGACTGGGTGTGTCGTCTGGTCTCAGCTTCTCATCCTCCTCTACCCCCTCCTCCTTACATTCTCAAGAGTTCTAAAAAATATCTTGGCATGCAAGAGAAAGGGCAACCTACCTGCAGTGCCGGGCTGGGTGTGTCGTCTGGTCTCAGCTTCTCATCCTCCTCTACCCCCTCCTCCTTACATTCTCAAGAGTTCTAAAAAATATCTTGGCATGCAAGAGATAGGGCAACCTACCTGCAGTGCCGGGCTGGGTGTGTCTTCTGGTCTCAGCTTCTCATCCTCCCCCACCCCCTCCTCCTTATTGTACTCCTCGTCATCCTCCCCCACCTCACTGCACCGCACTAGAGACATCGCCTGGACCAGCGCTGCTGCTGCGCTGCTCTGGACAGCTGTCGGCTGCTGATTGGGCGGCGCGGCTTCTAGCGACGGGAAGGAGAACTCCCGGATGTCCTCACTGAAGGGGATGGCGTTGAATAGCAGCAGGTCGGGCTGGTCATGTGACATGAACACAGGGCGGGAGAGAGGGGGGAGGGATGAGGTTAGATGTTGCGGGGGGGAGGAGGTGACACACAACGTAAGGGACACCCGGATGTCCTCGCTGAAGGGGATGGTGTTGAATAGCAGTAGATCCGGCTGCGTGGGAGGGGAGCGGAGAGGAGGGGAGGGGAGGGGAGGGGAGGGGAGGGGAGGGGAGGGAGAAGGGGCATGGTAGTGGAAGAGCGTCTGGTGTGGCTTCTAGCGACGGGCAGGAGAACTCCCGGATGTCCTCACTGAAGGGGATTGTGTTGAAGAGCAGTAGATCGGGCTGGTTGGGAGAAAAAGAGGGGAGACGGGGCATGGTGATGGGAACACGTCTGGTGTGGCTTCTAGGGAGGGGAAGAAAAACTCCCGGATGTCCTCACTGAAGGGGATGGTGTTGAAGAGCAGTAGATCGGGCTGGTAATGCGGCAGAAAGAGTGGGTTGGACAGGGGAGTGGGGGTGTTTGGGGGGTGAGAGGAGAGGGGGAAGGGGCATGGTGAAGGGAACACGTGTGGGATGGTTTCTAGGGAGGGGAAGGAGAACTTGCGGATGTCCTCACTGAAGGGGATTGTGTTGAAGATTAGTAGGTCAGGTCAGGGTGGTAGTCTGCAGCGGTTCGAAATTATCTATTCTCAACTGCAGCTGCTCGGCCAGTCCTCATGGCTGCGTGACAAAAGTTGAAAATTTGAGACGTCTCAAAGCTAAACTTTCATCGCCGGAAGTGGATGGTGCTGACGAGCAGCAGGTTGGGGTGGGAGTCTGCAGCGGTTCGAAACCATCTAATCTCAACTGCAGCTGCTCGGCCAGTCCTCATGGCCGAATGCCAGCATCAATCCCATCCGTACGACACGCACACCAAACGCTGCATGCACACACTCACCACCACCACCACACAGACATCCCCCTCTTAGGAAATACCTTTCTCGCTCTACACGGAGTCAGCACACTAAATGCAACGCCAACTCACTCACCACAGTTTCATCATCCTCCTCCGCAAATCCTCGCTTCCCTCTGCACCAAGGCGTCAGCACGCCGAGTGCATTTCATCCATACGACAGCGCCTCACAAAGCAATGCACTCACCACAGCTTCATCTTCTTCCTCTGTAAACCCTCGCTTCCCTCTACACCAAGGCGTCAGCACGCCGATCGCAGGCCATCTGTACAACACCAGAAGAAGCAAGCATGCAATGCACTCACCACAGATTCATCTTCCTCCTCTGTAAATCCCCTCTTCCCTCTACACCACGGCATCAGGACACCGAGTGCAACACCCGAGTCCGCTCGGTTGGTGAGCTTGAACCGCACGATGGCCACCTTTTCGGAAGATTCCATGGCCTGTGCAAGGGCTGAGAGGGCGAGAGCGGCCTTGGTGTTGCTGGGCTCTGGGAGGAGAATGGCCGTGTCCTTTATAAAGTAGTGCCTGGGATGGGCACAACGAAATGTGTGAGGTACAGGAAGGAAGGGTGTGAGAGGGCGAGCGAGCGAGGCCTTGGTTGGTGTTGGTAGACTCGGGGAGGAGTATGGCCATGAGGAAATGTGTGCTTGTCTTTGAGGAAATAGTAAATGTTCCTTCTTTCCACAATTACCTCGGAATCTGGTCTCGCATAGTGAAGCCAATTATTTGGATCCCCTTCTCTGCCTGAAACCGGTTTGCCATGCGGTCATACTCACTCACTGGGATGACCTGGTGATTATTGGCAGGGGGAAGTGCGGGAGAATGGGGGAGTTGGTTGGAGGACGTACTACTTGATAACCGCACTAACATATCAAGTCGGCTGGGATTTTCATCACCGGCAGGAGAAGCAAACAGCAATACTGACTTCTGAGTCGACTCAAGAGTCACCCCGATTTGATTTTGACTCACCACCCAGATGAGGCCCACACTGGACTGCTAACTTGTGTTGACCTGAGTTGACTTCAGTTGACTCCAATTGACTTGAGTTGACTCACCACCCACCTGGGGCCCATACTTGTACGCCCTCACAAGCTCATCCAACCCCACTGTCTCAAGCTCTTCCCCCGCTCCCCCTCCTCCCTCCGCCCCACCCCCTTCCTCCCCTTCCCCTCCTCCATCTCCCCCGTCCCCTCCGCCCTCCCCGTGCCCATCTGCACCGCTCTCCACCACTCGGTACTCTCTCTCCATCTTCACATCTCCAGTGGCGGAGGGATCGGAGGGAGGGGCGAGGCGGGAGAGGAGCTTGAGGGGAGGGAGGCGCTGAGGGAAGGTTTTCTTGTAGGACCAGACCTGGGGGAGAGAGTTAGAGAGGGATCCGGTGGGATGGGGAAGGATGAGAAAAGGGACTTCCTTGTCTCGTATGCCACAAATCACCTCTCCAACTGGCACCACACTCCACCGTTCTGCACTCCTGATCCTGCTTCACATCTCCAGTGGCGGAGGGATCGGAGGGAGGGGCGAAGCGGGAGAGAGGCGCTGGGGAAAGGTCTTCTTGTATGCCCGAACCTGGGGGTGGAGTGGGGGAGGAAAAACTTAAGGATAGGAAGGGGGGTGAAATGCAGCCACAGCGACGCATTCCTCACACTCACACGCACCTTGATGATGAATCACGCCTTGGTACGACGTGGTGGGCAGGGAAGCACTCGATGCTTCACTTCTCCGAGTGCAATGACACGTGCAGTGCAGTGCAATGCAGCCACAGCAACGCATTCCTCACACTCACACACACCTTGATGGTGAATCCTGGCGCCACCAGCAGCAGGTCGCCTGGGGGCAGCATGCGCGGTTCCACCGATCTATGCTCATAATGGAAGAGCGGCAATTCTAAAAAGTAGCGCTTAAAAATGCACCAGCAGGTCGCCTGGGGGCAGCATGCGCGGTTCCACCTGGAACAGCTTGCCCCAAAGGCGCAACTGCTGCTGCCAGTGGCAGTGCCCAGACACCCAACCACTCGCAACACCCCTCCACACCACATCACACCTCTTGGGGCGCCTCGTCACCTTGATGGCAAAGCCAGGCGCCACCAGCAGCAGGTCGCCGCGGCAAAGCCAGGCGCCACCAGCAGCAGGTCGCCGCGGCAAAGCCAGGCGCCACCAGCAGCAGGTCGCCGCGGCAAAGCCAGGCGCCACCAGCAGCAGGTCGCCTGGGGGCAGCATGCGCGGTTCCACCGATCTATGCTCATAATGGAAGAGCTGCAATTCTAAAAAGTAGCGCTTAAAAATGCACCAGCAGGTCGCCTGGGGGCAGCATGCGCGGTTCCACCTGGAACAGCTTGCCCCAAAGGCGCAACTGCTGCTGCCAGTGGCAGTGCCCAGACACCCAACCACTCGCAACACCCCTCCACACCACATCACACCTCTTGGGGCGCCTCGTCACCTTGATGGCAAAGCCAGGCGCCACCAGCAGCAGGTCGCCGCGGCAAAGCCAGGCGCCACCAGCAGCAGGTCGCCGCGGCAAAGCCAGGCGCCACCAGCAGCAGGTCGCCTGGGGGCAGCATGCGCGGTTCCACCGATCTATGCTCATAATGGAAGAGCTGCAATTCTAAAAAGTAGCGCTTAAAAATGCACCAGCAGGTCGCCTGGGGGCAGCATGCGCGGTTCCACTGATCTATGCTCATAATGGAAGAGCTGCAAGTCTAAAAAGTAGCGCTTAAAAATGCACCAGCAGGTCGCCTGGGGGCAGCATGCGCGGTTCCACCTGGAACAGCTTGCCCCAAAGGCGCAACTGCTGCTGCCAGTGGCAGTGCCCAGACACCCAACCACTCGCAACACCCCTCCACACCACATCACACCTCTTGGGGCGCCTCGTCACCTTGATGGCAAAGCCAGGCGCCACCAGCAGCAGGTCGCCGCGGCAAAGCCAGGCGCCACCAGCAGCAGGTCGCCGCGGCAAAGCCAGGCGCCACCAGCAGCAGGTCGCCGCGGCAAAGCCAGGCGCCACCAGCAGCAGGTTGCCGCGGTACGATGTGGTGGGCAGCACGCGTGGATTCACCCGATACAGCAGCATGCCCACTGCTGCTGCTGCTGCTGCTGGTGGCAATTGCGCTGCAGAGGCTTGCAAAGAAACAAATGATGAGAGAACACACATTGTGCCTCACCTTGATGGTGCATCCAGGGGCCACCAGCAAGTCGCCTCGGTACGATGTGGTGGGCAGCACTCGCGGCTTCACCCGGTACAGCATGCCCGCTGCTGCCAGCGACGCCACCACTCGCAGCTCCCCTCCACACACCACACCACCGCTCCCAACGCCTTTTTCCTCCTCCTTCTCCTCCTCCTCCTCCTCATCCGCCCCACCTCCTCCCTCCGCCCTTGCATCACCTGTCCCATTCTCTTCCCGTTTGCACCGTTTCCCGCACCTTCCCCCATCATCTGCCTCCTTCAATTTCTCCTGCTCTTCCCTTCGACCCCCGTGGACCCTGCAAGCCCCCGCATCAAAGAACCTTCTCAGCAGCTTCTCGTTCTCGTAAGCAACATCCCTGGCCTCAGCCCTTTCTCCTCCTGGGTCCCCATCGTCGTCTGCTCCTCCTGCCTCTGCCTCCTCGCCTTCCACCCTCCCGCTCAGCAGCACAGCGTGCAGAGCGATGCCATATTCGTGCATCTTCCCAGCCACCGTTGCCGCCTGGGAGAGACAAGAGACAAGAGGGTGATGGGGGGGGGATGATGGGAGGGGATGATGGGGATGGAGAAGGAGAATGTTGGGGGGTGGGGAGGTGGTGGTCTCAGCAGCACAGCGTGCAGAGCGATGCCATATTCGTGCATCTTCCCAGCCATCGTTGCCGCCTGGAGGGTGGCAGTTTGGGTGGGAGGGAGGGGCGAGGTCTCAGCAGAGGAGAGGGAGGGGCGAGGTCTCAGCAGAGGGGAGGGAGGGGCGAGGTCTCAGCAGAGGGGAGGGAGGGGCGAGGTGTCAGCAGTAGAGCGTGCAGAGTGATGTTGTAGCCCCTCAATTTCCCTGCTACCGTTGCCACCTGGGACAACGATATATATAAAGATAGGAGTGGGCTAGTGAAGTGGGGAAGTGCGGAAGCGGACTCAGGCGAAAAGAGGGCAGAAGAGGAGAAAGTGTGATAGCCCCCGCCAAAACCCCCGGCCTCAAAAACACCCCCGCCAAAACCCCCTGTATCTGTCCGTCCCCCTTTTCCACACACCTGCTCCTTTTTTGAGTCGACTCAAAAATCGACTTACTACACAAAGAGGAGAAAGTGGGGAAGCCCCCCCCGCCAAAACCCCCTGCATCTATCTGTCCCCCTTTTCCACACACCTGCTCCTCATTGGAGGCTTCGCTGGCCTCCTCCAATGGCGTGCCGCCACCTGTCAGCAGCATGACGCGCTTCACGCCCTTTGTGATTCCCAGAGGGCCCTTGGCGCGGATGAGCAGGTCTAAGGCCACCACAAGCGCGCTGAGCCCTGTGGGGAGGGGGCGGGGGGGGACACATACGGTACATATAGACAGACGGAGCAACGTGAAAGAACGAGTGTTTTGAGACGTCTCAAAACACTCCTTCTTTCTCGGAGGGGGCGGGGGGGGACACATACGGTACATATAGACAGACGGAGCAAGGGAGAGGATAGGTATTGAAGGCCCTCCGCCCCTTGGTCAGCCCCAGAGGGCCCTTGGCGCGGATGAGCAGGTCTAAGGACACCACAAGCGCGCTGAGCTCTGGGAGTGTGGGGGACGGAGAGGATACGGCCGCCACCAGGGCAGTGCAAAGAAGCACTCACCTCACTCACACCCTCTCTTCGGCCCCAGTGGGCCTTGGTGTTAGATTATACTACTCTTCTGTCTCCTGCATTGACCCTATAAACCCTAGGATAGAGATAGGCACCCAAACAATGTTTGGGTGCACAACTAGGGTTAACCCTAGATGGGGGTTGGAACCCAACCTTGGCCCAATTATTGGACCCCAAGGTTGGGTTGGAGGATTATTGGCCCCCCCAATAATGTTGGCCCACTTTTGACCAACATTATTGGGACCCCCCAATAATTCTCCAACCCAACTTATTGGTGGGGGCCAATAATGTTGGCTAGGTACCAACCACCCACCCTTTCCTTAGCTCCAACTATGTAAGCCCTCATCATTCCTAATCTATCTATCGGTTCAATTCTCACATGTTATCAGAGCCCTTACGGCTAACACCACTCAAGATCCTAGGACCATACTCTACCTCCCGCCGGCTCTGCCGTGCCCCTTGCGCCACTCAGCGCACCTCCCGCAGGCTCTGCCGTGCCCCTTGCGCCACTTAGCGCACCTCCCGCCGGCTCAGCCGTGCCCCTCGCGCCTCTCAGCGCACCTCCCGCAGGCTCTGCCGTGCCCCTTGCGCCACTTAGCGCACCTCCCGCCGGCTCAGCCGTGCCCCTCGCGCCGCTCAGCGCACCTCCCGCCGACTCTGCCGTGCCCCTCGCGCCATCTCGACGCCCCTCTCCTCACCACGTCCGCCCGCCGCGACAAACACGCCCGTCAGCCGCGGACGCGACGAACGCGCCCGTCAGCCGCGGACGCGACGAACGCGCCCGTCAGCCGCGGACGCGACGAACGCGCCCGTCAACCGCGGACGCGACGAACGCGCCCGTCAGCCGCGGACGCGACGAACGCGCCCGTCAGCCGCGGACGCGACGAACGCGGCCGTCAGCCGCGGACGCGACGAACGCGGCCGTCAGCCGCGGACGCGACGAACGCGGCCGTCAGCCGCGGACGCGACGAACGCGGCCGTCAGCCGCGGACGCGACGAACGCGTCCATCAGCCGCGGACACCGCGGAGACGCCCGGCAGCCGCGCACGCGACGAACGCGGCCGTCAGCCGCGGGCGCGACGAACGCGGCCGTCAGCCGCGGAGACGCCCACCAGCCGCGACGGACCCTGAATTAGGGTTTACTGCTACCCGCCCGTGGAGCAGCCGGACCGCCCTGTCCCTCAAGACGGTGTCGTCCACCTCCCCTCCCTCCCTCCTCCTCCTCTCATGGCCGACGAATCAACCTCGCTTGAGCTTGCCTCCATCGACAAGCTCGAGCTCCTCAACGGCACCACCGTCGTCAATTGGGTGTCGTTTGAGGAGAGCCTCTTCACATACCTGGGCTCCGTTCGAGTGGGAGATTACTGTCTCCTAGACGTTGTCCTTGAAACACCTAATGGCCTCCCCCCCACTCCGCCCCCACTCCCAGGCTCCTCCCCCCCCGACGCCCCACCACTCCCGACCGAACCTGCCCCCCAAGCCCCTATCCTAGGGCCTTGGGAGGATGATCCGGACAGGTGGGCTCGCACGCTCAACAAATACAACAAGGAGCGGGACGACTATGTCATCAAAAGCAGAGCACACGCAGCTGCCATCGCCGATCACGAAGCTGCCGCTGCAAAACTTGCAGAATTCAGAATCGCCTCCGAAGAGTACTCTGCTAAGCTCCGTAAGCACCACTCCGATACAGCTGCATGGCGCATTGCTGACCGCCGTGCACTAACTATCATCTTCTCATGCGTTCCCTCCTCTCTCAAGCGTGACCTTCGCCCCCCATCCTCCCCCTCCCTCTGGAAGTCTCTCTCCTCCCAATATGATCGCCAGGACTTACGTTCCCTCCTCTCCCTCTTTCGCACCTTCCAAGACATCACACTGCACTCCTCCCTCAACGCTGCTTCCTTCGCTCGGCGCCTCACGGACACTGCACAACGTCTCAATGATCGTGGCATCTTGATCTCGGACACCCTCCTCACAGCACGCATCCTTGACTGCCTCCCACCCACCTACGACACTTATCGCATCAATTTCACCTCCCAGCACATCCGTCCTCCTCCTGTGGCTGTTACCATCGACTGGCTCCTTGACAGTGAGGCTGACCTTCTGCGTGAATCTGCCTCTATCAATGCCGTTCATGCGCGCAAAGGAACAAACACCGGCGGAAGCAGCGGGGGCGGACAAGGACGTGGCTCGGGCGGTGGTGGAAGAGGAGGCGGTCGAGGAGGTGGACGAGGAGGGCGCACTGGGGAACGTGGCGGGCGTGGGGCAACCACTTCAACCACGGGTGGGCTCCCTCCGTGCCAGTATGTCATTCGCTAAGGCCCTAACAAAGGTCAGACCTGCAACCAGACCACCCATCCCACTGATACGTGTTTCAAAGCTCTCACCGACGAATGGCTTGCACGCGGCAACACGGGCCCTCCTCCACGCTGGAGCACCATCACCCCTCGCCCCACCCCTCATGACATTCGCACCCTTCCCGCCTATGCACCATCTCCCCCCAACCTCCATAATGTCCTCGCCCAACACCTCTCCCCTCACGTCCTCCAGCAAGTCCAACACCTCCTCCCCACACCCACCACCACCCCAACACCTCCCATCCTCACCACACCCACCCTCGCACCTCAAACCCCCTCCCCCTATCCTCCTCTCTCCCCTTATCCTCCTCCTTACTGGCCCTACCCTCCCTACCCCCCATCTCTGTATGGCCATGGGACAGCTGCAACTGCTGCACCTGCTGAACTACCCACCTCCCCCTCTCACCCCCCCGGCTTCACACCGTTTCCTTCCACGGGTTTCATAGGTCATGTCACCACTGCTAGCTCTTGCAATGATCCTCTGTATGTCAATGCTATTAATGAGTCCTCATTCCAGTACTCCGAGTCCCCCTCCTCCTCAAAGCCCCTTGAGTTCATCCTTGATAGCGGAGCCACGCACACGGTCCTTCGTGACGCAGGCATGCTCCTCCCCCTCTCCACCCCCTCCACAATACTTGGGGCTGACTCCAGCTTTGCGATACAAAGCCGTTACACCTCCACACTCCCCTGTCCCCTCTTTCCCTCAGGTACTGTCACAGGTCTCTATATCCCCTCCCTTCGGAACAACTTGGTATCCCTTGGTGCCCTCTCCGACTCAGGTGTCACCGCCATATTCCCTGGTCACAAAGCATATTGCGACTTATTTCACACCTCCTCCGGTCGTTTCCTCTGCCGTGTCCATCGGTGCCCCTCCACCCACATGTACACCTTCCGCATCCCCCGTCCCACCCTTCACCAACTCTCCACACCCCATCCCCCCGCCCCTTCCCCTCCTCTCGAACTCCCCCCTACCCCTCCCCCTTCCCCTCCCCCTCCCCCTCCCCCTCCCCCTCCCTCTCCCCCTCCCCCTTCCCCTCAACCTCTTCCTTCCCCCGCCCCTTCCCCTCCCTCCGCATCTAACCCACCCTCCCCTTGTCATTGTCGTGATCTCACACACCCCACCATTCTCCTCCACTATCGCCTCGGCCATCCCAACTTTGCCACCCTTCGCCGATCCATCCTCACTAAACTCCTTGACGGCCTCTCCCTTACCCTTCCCCCTCTCCCTCCTTCTCCCTCCCCTCCTTGCTCAGTTTGTGTTGAAAGCAAGCTGAAGCAACAACCACATACGAGTAACCCCTCTTTTTCCCTCCAACTCCTTGACCTCGTCCACATGGACCTTTGGGGCCCCAACCCCTCCCCCACCAGGCAAGGACATCGCTACCTCCTCATCCTGGTGGATGATCACAGTCGATACTCCTCCGTCACCCTCCTTCGTACGAAGGCGGAGGCCCCGGCTGCCATCACAGCCTGGGCTGAACAAGCACGCAACCACTTCGGTCGCCCTGTCCGCCGCTTCCATTCCGATGGAGGCGGTGAGTTCCTCAACCGCACCCTGTCCTCCTACTGCACCTCTCACGGCATCCTCCACACCTACACTCTCCCTCACTCCCCCTCAGCAGAATGGTGTGGCGGAGAGCCGCGTTCGGGAGATCACCAAAACTGCTCGGTGCCTTCTCGTTCACGCCTCCTGCCCACCTTCTCTTTGGGGCTATGCCATCCTTCACGCTGCCATCCTCACTAACCTCTACCCCCACCCCTCTCGTCCCACCTCCACCCCCACCGAACTATGGACCTCCAGCAAGCCTGACATATCCCCTCTGCGCGTGTGGGGTTGCAAGGCGTATGTCCTCATACACCCTGCCGACCGCCCACGCGCACGTGGAAAGCTTGCGTCTCGCACTCTCCCCTGTGTCTACCTTGGACACAACACCACCTCACCTGACTACCTTTTCCTCCACCCCCCCTCAGGCCGCCTCATCCGTAGTCGGGACGTGGTCTTTGACGAGGCCACCCCGTACTACACCTCTTCCTCCGCCCCTAACCCCCTTCCCCCATTTCCCCGGCCCCTTCTCTGGACTGACACACTGCCCCTCCTCCCGTCCCCTGCCATGACCCCTCCCCCCCCTCCTCCACCCCTCCCCCCTGCTCCCCTCTCCTCCAGCTCCTCCGGCGACATCCTTAACCCACCCCCCCCCCTCCCCCTCCCACTCCACTACCTCACCTTCCGCTGCAACTCACCTTCCTCCTCCTCCTCCCCCTACTCCACCTCCCCCGCCCCCTTCCCCTCCCTCCCCCCCTCCCCTCCTCTAACCCGCCCCCCCCTCCACCTCCCCCCCCCCTTCCCCGACGCCCCTCCCCTACCCTTGTCCTTCCCCGCTAGCCCCACACCCGCTCCCTGGACCCCATCCTTGGTTCCCCACAGACTTCCCCCCCCTCCCTCCTCGCCCTCACCGGTACTCCCCTCCCCCCCCGCTTCAGCCCCCTCACTCCAGATCCACTGCGCAACCGCTCCGCGCTCCTGACTGCACCACCACGCAGCCGAGCAGCAGCATTTCCATGCCTCAAATTCGACCTCCAGCGCAGCTGTCTTGCATCTTCACCACCCCCTCTACCTCCTCCTCTCTCTCCTCTCCTCTATGAAGACACCCACGACGAACTCCTCTTCCTCCACCTCCTCGCGCCCTCCATCGCCCCCATCATCCGCACCATGGCGGGCACTCCAGTTCTCCTTTTCTCCGGCACCCCCACCATCTTCGAACCCACCACGTATGAGGAAGCTATTGCCTGCCTCGACGCACCACTCTGGATTGAAGCCATGGTCAAGGAGAGCAACGCTTTCATCCACAACCGCTCCTTCATCGACGTCCCTCGCCCTGCCAAGACCAATGTCGTCAAAGGCAAATGGCTCTTTCGTGTCAAGCTTCTCCCTGGCGAAGACCCTGTCTACAAAGCTCGCTATGTGGCGAAGGGCTTCACGCAGAAACACGGCTTTGACTTCTTCGAAACATACTCATCCACTGCTACCCCACCGGTCGTTCGGGTGTTCCTTGACTTCGTCGGCAGACGCGGCATGCTGCTACACTCCATGGATGTCACTACCGCCTTCCTCCAAGGCGACCTACACGAACTCATCTTCATGGAACGCCCCAAAGGCTTTCACGCTCCACATGACCCGTCCACCGTTTGGAAGCTGCTGCGGCCCGTCTACGGCCTCAAGCAGGCACCCCGGGAGTGGCATGCCAAGCTCTCTTCCACCCTTCGCGAGCTTGGTTTTCGCCCCTCCCGAGCTGCCTCCAGCCTCTTCCTTCGGACGGCTCCGTCCCCTTTCTACATTCTTGTTTACGTCGACGACATGCTACTAGCTGCCGACACAGATGCTGAGATGCAGGAGGTCAAGGACGAACTACAGCGTCGACTCGCCTGCAAAGACCTGGGGGAGGTCCGCAACTACCTTGGCATGGAGATCACCCGCGACCTCAAGGCTAAGACTATCTCCCTGTCTCAGTCCTTCTACATTGAGAAGGTCCTTGAGAGGTTTGGAATGTCCAAAGCCAAGCCCATCGCCACTCCGTTTGCAGTTGGGCATCAGCTTTCGCCCCCTGCCACCCCCACCGACTCCTCGAACCCCTATGCAGAACTTGTCGGGGCCCTGATGTATGCCATGGTCTGCACCCGCCCCGACCTTGCCTACCCAGTCAGTGTTCTGGCACGGTTCTTTGGTGTCGGCATGCACACGGAGGAACACATGACGGCGGCCCGGCGTGTCCTACGCTACCTTCAGCATACGAAGAATTACTCTCTCACCCTCGGTGGAGTGGACCCGCCGGTCCTCACTGGCTTCAGCGACTCGTCCTGGGCAGATTCACAACCTGACCGTCGCAGCTCATAGGGATATGGTTTCTCCCTTGGGAGCGGCCTCATCAACTGGCGCTCCACCCGCTCCTCCTCCATCGCCCTCTCCTCCTGTGAAGCCGAACTATACGCGGTCACGATGGCGGCACAGGAAGCACGCTGGCTCAGCTATCTCCTCACAGGCCTTGGCTCACCACAACCATGTCCCACCCTCTGGTGTGACAACGCTAGCACCATCCACCTCACCAAAGAAGCTGTCTTCCATGGTCGCTCCAAGCATATCGAGCTCCGCCACTACTTCGTTCGCGACCTTGTCCAGGATGGCCACATCACCGTGCGCAAGATCGACTCCTCCTCCAACCCCGCCGACATTTTCACCAAGGCCCTCGACCGCGCTACTCACTCGGCAATCTTGCCCCTCCTGGGCCTTGCCCCCCATGGTGACTGATTCAGTGGTTGCTGTCTTATCTCATCTAGGTTTAAGGATCTCTGCAGGCTAAGGGGTTGTGTTAGATTATACTACTCTTTTGTATCCTGCATTGACCCTATAAACCCTAGGATAGAGATAGGCACCCAAACAATGTTTGGGTGCACAACTAGGGTTAACCCTAGATGGGGGTTGGAACCCAACCTTGGCCCAATTATTGGACCCCAAGGTTGGGTTGGAGGATTATTGGCCCCCCCAATAATGTTGGCCCACTTTTGACCAACATTATTGGGACCCCCCAATAATTCTCCAACCCAACTTATTGGTGGGGGCCAATAATGTTGGCTAGGTACCAACCACCCCCCCTTTCCTTAGCTCCAACTATGTAAGCCCTCATCATTCCTAATCTATCTATCGGTTCAATTCTCACACTTGGTGCGAATGAGCACGTCCAGAGCTACCACAAGCGCGCTGAGCCCTGGGCAGGTCGGTGGGCAAGAGGAATGCAATACAAATGCCCTTCTATTAGCTCAGACCGACGCTTTTGAGGAGCTCACTGCCTAGTAACTACCCTCACTCACACATGTGCGGCGCCTCAAAAGCCTTCTGAGGTGTTCTCTAACTACCTAACCACCCTCACACACACGCGGTCTCCGTGACGACAGGACAGCCACTCGCTGACAATCAGTGCAGGTGCTGTTATTATCGAATAATAACAGCACCTGCACCGAGTGGGGACAGCCGCTCGCTCACAATCGCTCCTCACACCTGGCTCTGTTTGAAGTCGTCTTCTTCTGATCTCATTGACGCTTCCTACCACCCCCACCCACACACACCTTCCTTAACGGTAATTTACTTCACTCACAGTCACTCCTGATGCTCGAGTCTGCTGCTTGCTCCATAGCGTGCACAGCTTGTAACGAGGATGGATCCACCACCCTGTGAGGCACCACCACGGCTATGTTCTCGTACCCTTCCACCTCCTCCAAGGGGTTGTTCGTCTCTGCAAATGGAGAATAGAAGGAATCAATGTCTTAAAGAGTTGTGATGTGGAGAGTACAAGGGAAGGTTTTTGATGAGATATACATTAACAAAAAAAGAACAAAGAAAAAAGAAAGAAAGAAAGAAAGAAAGAAAGAAAGAAAGAAAGAAAGAAAAAAAGACTGCTCAGAGGGGGCTCACATCACATCACATCACATCACATCGCATCGCATCGCATCGCATCGCATCGCATCGCAACTCATCGCATCGCATCGCATCGCATCGCATCGCATCACATCACATCGCATCACATCACATCACATCACATCACATCACATCACATCACATCACATCACATCACATCACATCACATACCCTTGGAGCCGAATGCAACAACTGCAACATCGTCACGTGGGTTGAAGAGAAGCTGCCAGGAAAGTGCAGAGTCGATACACGGAAGAAAAATAGCTGATTAGGCAAGAATAGACGGATGGAGGGATGTCATGGGACGGGATGGGATGGGATGGGATGGGATGGGATGGGATGGGATGGGATGGGATGGGATGGGATGGGATGGGAAGGGATGGGATGGGATGGGATGGGATGGGATGGGATGGGATGGGATGGGATGGGATGGGATGGGATGGGATGGGATGGGATGGGATGGGATGGGATGGGATGGGATGGGCTGGGCTGGGATGGGATGGGATGGGTTGGGATGGGAGGAGCGGGGAGGAGATTGGAGGGGAGGGGAGGGGAGGGGAGGGGAGGGGAGGGGAGTGGTGGGGAGGAGAGGGGAGGGAGGGAGGGAGGGGAGGGGAGGGGAGGGGAGGGAGGGGAGGGGTGGGATGGGAGGAGGGAGGGGGGAAGAGGGGAGGGGAGGGGAGGGGAGGGAGGGGAGGGGTGGGATGGGAGGAGGGCGGGGGGGAGAGGGGAGGGGAGGGGAGGGGAGGGGAGGGGAGGGGAGGGGAGGGGATGAAATGGACGCTATGCTTCTTCACACATGAAAACGCACTTCTCCCCCTTCGTCTCCCTCCCCAATTGCAATTGCATACACTCGTCATAACCCCACACTCTTCCCACCCACCCACCCACCCACCCACACACACACACACCCACTCACCTTCTGAACCATCTGCTGCTCCACCCAGAGCCGGCACTCTTGAAACACGCTCGGTGGGACGGATGGGCGGATGAGCTTGCATACAGTCATGCCCATGCAACCCCATACAACCCCACACCAACCCACCCCCACACATCCCCACCCAACCCCACCTTTACCATCTGCTGCTCCACCCAGAGCCGGCACTCGTGAAACACCCCTGGTGGGACAGATGGCCCCGCATCAGCACTCCACCCATCCACACCCAACTGCACTCATCTAGCTACCTGCACCTACCCATCCCCACCTATCCTCACCTTCTGCACCATCTGCTGCTCCACCCAGAGCCGGCACTCCTGAAACACGCTCTGTGGGACGGATGGACCTGTATCCACCACGTATACCACCGTCTCCTGTGCAGCCGGAAATGGGGGTGGGGGGAGGGGAGAGGGGAGGCGGGGAGGGGAAAGGGGGAAGAGGGGGAAGAGGGGGGAAGGGGGGGAATGAGGGAGGTTGGCAGTGGACCCGAATTCACCACATACACGCGTGGTGAGGCGGGGGGGAGCAGGGAGGGAGGAGGGGGAAGACAGGGGATGGGGGGGAATGAGGGAGGTAGGCAGTGGACCCGCATTCACCACATACCACCACTACCTCTTCCCCCTCTCCCCTCCCGTCTCCTGTGCGTGTCAGGGCGGGGAGTAGCGTGGAGCGGAGATGGGGGGTAATCGGGAGTTGAGTAGGAAAGAACAGGCACGTGTACCACGTGGCCCACCGACTCCTGCGACAAGAGCGGCGGGAAATGCGGAGGAACCAAGCTGCGAAAGAGAATTCGACGGCTGCACGGACGTCGATGCGAAAATCAGTGCGAAACCAAGAGGCTCGTTACCAGTACAAGCGTTTCGAAAGCTCTGCGTACGTACCGCGTTTCTCGCCATTTATGCAATTCGCTACGAAGCGCGAGTCGCGCCTGGAGCCTTTCTGATTCCCCCCCACCCCGCGGCGCGCCTGGACAAGTCTCGCTGGATAGGCGATCGCAGGTAACAAGTGGATCCTGGCGTGTTCCACGTGGCTAAAATATCGACTGTGCCAGATGTCAAAACCAGCACAACAGAAAATACGCCCTCAGCGCGAGTCCACGGAGCATATGTTAATTGTGTTCCGAAACAGCATTTCATGCGGTTTCGTAAGATGAGATTGCGATATACTACGGTTTCGTGTGGTGACAACCACGGCATCGATATCAGGCCGTGTTCCCAAGCACGGCGCGGGGTTGGGACGCGCGTGGCGAAGGCGAATGCAGGGCTTTGCTGTTCGGATTCGGCATAATTTCGTCGACAGCGCAAAGATTAGTCGCAACAGTACACTGCAATATTACCAGCGAATAATTTACAAAATGAAAACACGAAACACATATGGTATTTCCCCCCCACTACTGCAATGTGCCTGTCACAGGTGCATCACCCCCCCACTACTTCTAACATTTTCCCAATAAAAAAAGGTGCCCTCATGAGCTTTCAAAGATCGCTCTCCCCTTGCCATTTCTCACTTGCTAAGGATATCCGGAGCACCGCCAAGAGCATCACCCATGCAGCAGATTTTTAGGGTTTGCATAGCATCTACACTTGTCACATTGCTCCATCCATGCCATTCATCACCTGCCAGGAGTATCAGGAGCATCACCCATGCCACTGCTGCTCGTATTCTCCGGCCGCTGCAGCAAACAATTAGGCATGAGCCATCGCCCCAACGCCCCTCCCGTATTCACCGCCGCCCTCGCCTGCTCCTCCAGCGTATTCACCCGATCATTCAGCAAATCCCTCTCTAGTCTCAGCCGCTTCACCTCCACCCTAGCCGTGTCTAGCGCTCGTAGATACTCCTGCGCTTTCTCCACGCTCGCTCGCGCATGCACCTTATCCCCTTCCGTCTGCTCTATCAGCAAAGCTAGTGACTCCGCCTCCTTCCGAGCCTTCTCCGCCCGCTCCTCCGCGTCAGTCACGGCGCCCCGAAGCTGCTTCTCAGCCTCGGCAACCGCCGAGTCCTTCTCCCGCTTCGCCGCAGCCAACCTATCATTCAAGGTTACCACCTGCTTCAGTAACTCGGTAACCGTCGCCTCTTTCTCCTCCCTCGCCTCGATCAACGCCTGATACAACTCCTCCATCTCCCCATCCATCCGAGCAATCTCTTCCCTTAGCGACTCAACCGTATCCTCCTCCTCCCCGTCCTCCCCATACCCACCCTCCCGCCGCCCCTCCTCCCCTTCACCATCTGCTCGTCTTCTTGGGGAAGGACCCCCATACCTCATGCTACGACCGCCCCCTCCTCCTCTGGGGGATGGCCCTCCCCCTGAGTACAGCTGTTCTCTCAACTCCTGCAGCTCCTTCTCCTTCTCTTCGATTATCTCATCTTTGGCCCTCGCCTCAGCTGATTTCATGATCAGCTCCATCGCTTTCCTCCTCGCCTCCTCCTCCTTTCCTTCCACCTCCTTCTCCAGCCGCTGAATCTCCTCGCTCTTAGCTAAAAGCTCATCGGTCAGACGCTTAATCTCCTGCTCCTTAGCTAGCAGCCCCTGGCTCTTAGCCTTCAGTGCGTTCAGCTCCTCCTGCTTCGCAATCACTTCCCGAGCCTTCGCCCGAACCTCCGCCTCCTTCTTCCGAACCTCCTGCCCCTTGCCTTCCAGCATCACCCGCTGCTGATCCACCTGCATCAGCAGCTCCGCCTCTCTCCTCTGCATCTCCTCTATAGCAGACTCCGCTAAGAGAACAAACCCTGATGGCACCGCCCCTGTTGCTGCTCCCGACGCCCTTGCCCCACCACCTTCTCCCACCCCTGAGCTATTCTCAGAAACTCCTCCTGCACTCTTCCCACCTGCTCCTCCCGCTCCTCCCGCTCCTCCTGAGCTCCCAGCAAACTCTTCTTCTAAACTCGCAAGCCTCTCAGCAATTTTCTCCCGCTTCTCCCTTTCCCTCCGCGCCTCCTCCTCCGCCCCCTTCACCTTCCACGTAACTTCCTCCAGCTCATCCAGCGCCTTCCGAGCAGCTTCCTGCTCCTCCACCATTCTCCCTTCCGCCTCCTTCACCCTCTCCTCAGCCTCCTTCAGCTTCACCCAAACCCGGGCCACCTCAGACTGCTCCCACTCCCCACCTCCCGCTTCTCCCCCTCCCCCTTCTCCCCCTCCTGCACCCGCTCCCCTCCCCGCTCGCCCCATCAGCCCATCTCGGATCCTATCCACCTCTTCCTCTGCCTCTCTGGCTCTCGCTTCGGCCTTCCTCCACTTCCCTTCAGCTTGTGCCACCTGTCCCCTCAGCTTCGCAACAGCTGTCTCTTTCTCCCGAACCTCTCTCCTGATCCGGCTCTTCTCCATTGCTTCCCGATCCGCCAGCTGCTCCCGGAGAGCCTCCGCGGCAGCTTCGGCGCGCCGCGCCCGAGCCTCAGCTTTGGCGAGCCTCTCCGAGGCTGCAGGTTCGGGCTCGTTGCCGTCACTGCCACCACCATTGCTGCTACTGGTATCAGTGGCTGCTGTTGCAGTAGTAGCTGCTGTGGCTCCTTCCCTACCCTCTCTCCCGCCCATATCTGCTAAGTCCTTCACTCTCTCCCTCTCTGCCTTCAACTCCAACTCAACTGCCTTTACTCTCTCCCTCGCTGTTTTCAGCTCTAGCTCAACTGCCCCAACTCTCTCCCTCTCCACCTTTACTTCTTCCTCCAGTGCTCTCGCCCTCCCCAACACCTCCTCCTTCTCCCTCCGCCCCTCCTCCACCTCTTTCCTCGCCTCCCTCACTCTCTCCTCCCACTCCCCCTTCTCCCTCTCACTCTCCTCCAACCTCTTCTCAACCCTCTTCCTCTTCTCCTCCTCTCCTTCCACCCTCTCCTCCAATTGCTCCCTCAATTCCCTCACCTCCCTCTCAGCCTGTCTAGCCCTCACCTCTAAATCCCTCTTTTCTTTTTCCAGTTCACCTACCCTAGAACCCACCTCCCCCTCCCTCTCCCTCCCAAGCCCCTCTATCCGTCCCTCCAATTCCCTTCTCCTGCACTCCTCCTCTTCCAACCTACCCTCCATTTCCCTCCTCTCTGCCCTCGCCTCCTCCACCCTCCCCTCCATCTCTCCCAGTCTCTCCTCTAATTCCCTCCTCCTCTCCTCCCCTTCCTCCCTCCTCCTCTCCCCCTCTTCCTTCTCCCTCTCCATCTCCTCAACCCTCCTCTCCAACTCCCTTCTCACTCGCTCTAACTCCTCCCCTCTCTCCTCCACCTCTCTCTTCCTCACACTCACCTCCCTCAACTCCCCCTCTACCTCCTCTCTCCTCCTCTCCTCCTCTCTCCACCTCCCTTCCACCTCCTCCCTCCTCACCCTCTCCTCCTCCCTCTCTCCCTCCACCTCCATCCTACTCGCCTTCTCCCTCTCTAAAGCCACTTCCAACTCACTCACTCTCACTCCATCCCTCCTCTCCCCCTCTTCCACAGCCCTTCTAAGCCCATCAATCTCTCCCCGCGATTCCTCCTCCACCCGCCTCCTTCCCTCCCTTTCCTCCTCCAAGCTCCTCTCAAGCTCCATCCTTCGCTGCTCCAACTCTCCCACCTGCTGCTCCACTTGCCTCCTCTTCTCCCCTTCCTCCTCCCCCTCCTCCCTCACCTTCCGAATCTCCTCCTTCATACGTGCCGTCTCCTCTAGCATATGTTCCTTCTCCTCCTCGGCTCTCTGCTTCTCCTCTTCCATATCTCGCCTTCCCTCCTCCAGTTTCCTCTTCTCCTCCTCCAACCCTAGAACGGCTTCCCGCAACCCGGCCACTTCTTCCTCTGCACCCTCTTTCGCCCCTTGCACCTCCCTCAACCTCCCCTCCAACTCCTCCTTCTCCAGCACCAGTCGTTCAATCTCGCCCCTCGCTTCTGCCACTTCCGTTTGAAGCACAGCAAGCGCTGACTCCACTTCTCGCGCCTTCTCCTGCTGCTCGCTAGCCTTCGCCTCAAACTCTCCCGCCCTCTTCTCACTCTCTCCCACTCTTTCCTCCATCTCCCTCACTCTCTCCTCTGCCTCCCTCCTCACATCCTCCAGCTCCCTCTCCTTCTCCCTCCCCTTCTCCTCCCACTCCCTCACTCTCTCCTCCAACTCCTTCACCTCCCCCTCCAACCTCCCCACCTCCTCCTCTCTCTCCCTCAACCTCCCCTCCACCCTCCCCACCTCCTCCTCCTTCTCCCGCAACCTCCCCCCCACCTTCCCCACCTCCTCCTCTCGCTCCCTCACTCTCTCCTCCAACCCCTCCACCTCCCTCTCTTTTTCCCCAAGCAACCCCATCGCCTTTTCCAATTCCTGATCCAGCAACCGAATTTCTCCCGCCACCCTCTCTCTCTCATCCTCCACAAGAGCTTCAGCAGCAGCCAACCGCCTCCCCATCTCCTCCCTCCCTCGCTTCGATTCTGCCAG